ATATATATATATATAATAATTTAAAAAAAAACGATTTATACTATAAAATATATATATACATACATATGAATAGATGTATATAAATATACATCAATATATGTTTATACAGTTATAATATAAATATAAAGAATATACTATGTATGTGTGTGTGCGCACATGCTCGCACTTCCAACTGAGTCGTAGCTTTTGCTGCTGCTGACCTGATGCATCGTTCCACCTGCCAACTAATTCAATGCAGAATTGCAGATTAACTGATCCCACTAACCGGTCTTGACTGCATCCAAAGCCTGACGTGTCTTGTTCTTTTGCACCAAAATGTCTTCACTGTTTTCCTGTTTTTCCTTTATTTAGACTAGACTTTTCTATCAATTTTCTTTCTCCAGATGGTTCTGATGACATGACGCACAACATGACACATTTTCAACCCGATGCCAACTCATCCATGAGCTGTCAAATAGGTCCGCGTTTAAACACAGGCGAAACTGTAACAGCAGTACAAGTGTTTACTTTAGATATGCTATTTTTATCTGTAGTCTTGGTGCTACATTTTATTCAGACTCTGCCTAAAATCTACATGAATCTTTTCATGTCATTATTACACACTTGAACTTTTTCGAAGTCGTAGATTTTGATCATTTGTAGGGTCTCTGTCTGTCAGGGCTGGTGCTCAGCTAAAGATGACCTCACACAGAAACTCTTCAGGCACACCACTGTTGCTGAGTGAAAAAAAAAAAGAAAAGCCATGCTGTTGTGCTGGGATACTTGTGCCTTTACTGTGATGAATGGTCACTGTAGTCTTCTGACTTAAAAAAAAACAAAAAACAAAGGCACATCCTGCTGCTATAAAAGATTTGGAGCAAGTGTCGAACCCCAGTAACTGCACAGTGAAGAATGGTTGAAAATAACGGCTGACTGTTGTGGCGCTGTATAATAATAAACCAAATGAGGTGAATACAGTAGATACATAATAAATTAATTATCAAATTTAATTACCCCCCGACCCCCTTTGTGTCTGTGCCTTTAAATTTAGCCTAACAAACGCCAACACCGTCGCTCACACGTCTAACGTCTGTACGTGTCCCAGCATAAGGATGCACAGTCTGTCTGTGAGCCAGTCTCATTGTGGTGAAATATTTCAGCCAGACCTCATGCAGCTGTGGTTGTCTGGAATGTCTGACACAGACCACCCTTTCACCCTCTTTGCCCCCACTTCCCCCTCCCCTCCTTAGCTCAGAATGAAATGACATTGAGGAAAACGATGTCCCCCGATGATCATAGTCTGACCTTGTCCTGAAAAGTGCAGGAAATCCAAGTGGATTCTTTCCGCTCTACAGCTCTCATTCACGCTATTTCCTCTGTCGACAGTCATACTGTTTAAGTAGCAGTTATATTGAGTTAAATAGTATCTGGTTTCTTCAACAATATGATGACATGGTTATTACAGTATTTAGTGGCGATGAAGTTGCACTGTGTCTTAGCAGCACCCCTGTATGAAGGTGCAGTTTTAAAAGACTTAGTACAAACGTCACCACGCACTGTTCTTTTTATAAGGAATATATATTTATATGTATATGGCCAAGGGCAGAGTGGTGGGATGTAATAAACTGAGGAACTCTCAAACAGCAAGTACTCATTTATTAGGAAATATATGGCAAGAACTTTTCACTTGACAATATGTAAATTCATGCTGCCGGCAACAAGATTTAAAAAAAAAAAAAAATTAACTATTGACAAGTCCTTTGTTTTTAAGCGGAAGTAACAGTGGCCCCACAGTGAACCACAGGAGTAGGGGAAAAATACCTTATTATAATACTTTAGGAGTGTGTCAGTGTTTCCGTGAGATAAATATTACCAGAAGGGAATTAAGGAAGAGAAATAGGAAAAGTATTAAGATTAACAAGCAGCCGTGAGCAGCAAAACAAAGTGCACTTTATGCCTTGAATCCTCTGTGTATCATCATGTAAAACTTAAATAATGAAGCTAATTAGTTCAGAAATCCTTTATTTATTTTTTATATTAACTGTAGACCATTAAATAAATAAATGAATACTTTTTGATAGTAATCGTTTTGTTTCTTTACCTACCGGAAAAAAAGGCAAATAATGAAACATTTCCAGAGCTGCTTCCTGTAGTTGGGATTTTTTTGCACAGCTTATTTAAAACAGGCGTCTCTGAACCGTGTCTGTGGTGTCTGTGACTGTTTGCCCTGCAGCAGTAAACTCTGGAGAACATCCTCAAAGCTCTGACCTTCAGGTGACTGAAGAGGCTCTTGTCTGTTTTGTTTTCCCACTGCAGCTTGAATGACAGCTGACTATCCTTGTGTTTCATTGGCACAGCACGCTGATCTTCTGTTTTCCCCCCCCTTGTGTTTATTCTTTTTTTTTCTTCAAACCCTGTCAATCTTTTATATTCTTCTGTCTACATTTTTGTCCTCTTGCTTTGATCATAACTGCCGCCCCAATATTTTCCTTCCTGTCTTTACGTTCCTTTACACACTTGTCTTGCCACGTTCATTTGTGTCCAACTTTTTTTTTTCACCCCCTGAAATACAATTGTGCAGGTGTTCCAGTCAACAGCCGCGTCTCCTCTAAAATCCAGCAGCTGCTCAATACTCTGAAAAGACCAAAGCGACCGCCACTGCGAGAGTTCTTTGTGGACGACTTTGAGGAGCTTTTGGACGGTAGGCCGATGGAAATAATTATATTTTCTTTTATCAAATCAATAAATCATTTTGGGGGAAGGGCGGGGCCATGGAGCTCTGCTCTTTGGAGTGACAGGTCTGCTGATCAGAGACTTAGTCCTTTAATGCCAGACTTCACAGTCGGACGGATTCTGAGCAGACCAAGGTTTGCGGCTTTCTGTGTACATATTTTCAGTTTCCATGCTCGTTATTTATCAACTTCCTATTGTAGGTCAGACAAAAATATCACCGTGGCCTCACCAGGCCTCCTAAATCAACAGTCAAAGTACACTGGTAGATTGGGGGCTGTTTATTTTGTCTCTTGTCAGAGCTCAGACCACCAGGTGAGCCAAAGGGAGTGGTCACCCAAACACACAGCCACATGTTGGGCCAACCCTTGTTAAGTATTTCCTCTGTTCCAACCAGTATAAGCTGGGTTTTTGGGTGGTGCTTTGCCAGGCTGAACAAACACCAGAAAAATGAACGCTACAAGAATAGTAATACACCAGCAGGTAATTGCAAAAAGCCTCACTGACTTCTGTACCGAAACTGTGGAATGGCAACCCTCAGGGGTGGTTAAAACTGGAGCAGGCCAAAAACTGTCTGTTGATGATGAATGTGTTTGGTTTAACATTTGTGAATTCTACCAATCAGAGCGTTTGAGGGGAGAACGGGGAGAGGGATGGGAGTTAAATCAAACAGCAGGTGGAGAGATTGATTAAAAAAAAGGGTGAGAGATTTGTATTTTAATGAGCCTCGGCTCTGGGTTTCTATCTTTGGAAACAGAGGCTGATAAAGAAATCGCCCCCATTAATCCCTCACCTCTTCCTTTTCAATCAATTTCATCCTATTTTGTTTCAGTCGCACACTTATTACCTTCCCTTAAAATCAGACAGTGGTATTTGGAAAGGTAACTGTTAGTCTGTAAATATCCATTCTCTTTTATTCTACAAAATCCCTCCCAAACTCATTTTTATTTTGTATTTCTCCGTTTGTCATTAGTCCAGCAGCCGGATCCTAACCAGCCAAAACCAGTGGGCCAAGAGATGACTCCTCTAGAAGGAGAGCCTCTTGGCGTGGTCACCAACTGGCCTCCGTCCTTGCCAGCTGCCTTACAACGGTGGGGTATGACTCAGCCCAAAAGCCCCTGTCTGACAGCGCTGGACAACGCCGGCAAAGCCATCTACACACTCACCTACGGTAGGTGTCGGTGCCACGCTTCTCAAAATGAACGCATCAACCGCTGTAGTTGATTGGTCTTAACTAATAGTTAAGATCTAATTATAATGAGTCGGACAACTAAACTGAGATGTTTGACGTTTTGTGCTCACACACGTAGGTAAACTGTGGACCCGCAGTCAGAAACTGGCCTACACGCTTCTGAACAAGCTGAGCACCAGAACCGAGCCTTTGCTTGTGCCCGGAGACAGAGTGAGTCATGAGATAAATTAAAATCTGTTGTTAATTTACCATCCTAATTAAACTGGGAAAGGGACAAAAAGACTGTTTTATTTTGTTCTCTGACGCCTTACACCGTAATTTCCAGACTATAAGTCACACTTTTTTTTCCATCCTTTGGCTGGGTGTGCGACTTAGATATTAAAATATATAATTACACACCACACTAACAGCCGCTAGAGGGCGACTCCAGATTGACATAGTCTGGAAAATACTGTACTACAACCAACAATCTCAAGGTTTAGGTCTACTGTATACCATATTTGTATTTATTTTTTAATTCCATTTTGTCCAGTCCTTTCCTGAGTACTGCATTGACATTTTCAACAGGTATTTTTGCAGCTTTTTCTTTGTTAAAATTCTGTATAATCATACCAGTGATTACTGAATCTGTAGGTGGCACTGGTTTTTCCGAACAACGATCCAGTGATGTTCATGGTGGCCTTCTACGGCTGTCTGCTGGCAGAGCTAGTACCTGTGCCTATAGAAGTTCCACTCACCAGAAAGGTAGGAACCAAAAGAAATCTTTATTTTCTCCTCTTGAATAATTATTGCTTACCATTACCAAGTACCTGTAAATGGCAATAGTGACCCCCGCTGGACAGTTTGTTTTTGACAAAAGGGCAAAAGGGAGGGATTATTTCTAATGTCCCAAAAGAATCTATCAAACAGTGGCTCATTTACATTAGTCGTCTGAACATTATTGTCTGTTGTTGGTAGACATGGTCATTTATCGTCCATTTCTTCCCTCAACATTAAGGCACACTGGGTGTCTCCCTCAGCGTGAGTCCAGCTAAAAGCATTTTACGAACATGAAGACAGATTGGAGTGTGACTGTGTGTCGCACCCTGGTGTTCATTTCACTTGGTGTAGACTTTGATGCTCAGCGGTGGAGTTTTTAATAGTGTCTTGGTGTCACTCTGTTTTCTTGACTGCTGCTGTTTTGATGTCAGATGCCAGCGTCACCTTTCTCTCATTATCTCCTCCTTCCTCAAACCATCCCTTCCCAAAGCCATATGGCCTAAATTGTATTATTCTTCATAGATCAAATACTCAGGGTTTTTTACAAATATCTCTGTTTTACTGTTTCCGCCCTCAGGACGCAGGGAGTCAACAGATTGGCTTTCTGTTGGGCAGCTGCGGAGTCACGTTGGCACTGACCACTGATGCCTGTCAGAAGGGCCTGCCCAAAGCACAAACAGGGGAGGTAGCCACTTTCAAAGGTACCGTCTGTTTACAGCCTGTAAAATGTTAGTTTTTTTGACTTTTTTTTTTTAAACTGACTTCATGTCTCTGTGTGTGCAGGTTGGCCTCGGTTACTGTGGTTTGTGACAGATGGAAAACATGTTGTGAAGCCTCCAAAGGACTGGCATCCTCCAATGCGTGAAGCCAGTAATGAAATAGCCTACATAGAGGTGAGAGTAGTTGCAAACGATGCAGCCATTAAAACAGGAATAGAAACACTTCAGAGTTACCTTAAATAACATGTATTTTCTCATTGATTTTTCTCTAGTATAAAACCAGTAAAGAAGGAAGCACCATGGGGATCACAGTGTCTCATTCAGCCATGTTGGCTCACTGTCACACCCTCACACAGGCCTGCGGCTACAGTGAAGGTGAGGATGACACTCAGCGATGACAGATGTACTCGGGCCAGGACTGCTGGACTCAGGAACTACCTCCGAAATTTGTGTTTTTATATGAAAATGTCTCAAACGTATCGTTTGACTCCATCTTTTGTGTTTTTCAGGTGAGATTATAACAAATGTGTTGGACTTCAAGAGAGAAGCTGGGCTGTGGCATGGAGTTCTCGCTGTGAGTGACGCTAAAATAATAAAAATTGTAACGATATGATTGACTCCTAATTTTAAAGACAAAAGCAACTTCCTATGATCATAACTTGATTAAGACATGACTACTGATACACCGAAAGTGTAGCACATTATTGTCATAATAATTGTTAACATACATTTTCAAATTAACTTAATAAAATAAATGACGCAAATATCGACATTTCGTTGAACTGAGGAGGCAGTTGTTCAAACCTGCAGCGAGAGAATACAGAACCATGTTTACTGTTCGGGGCTAACCTGAAGCTTGTGATGCTTTTGGTGGCAGAGCGTCATGAATCGCATGCATGTGATCAGCATCCCATACTCCCTGATGAAAGTCAACCCACTCTCCTGGATACAGAAGGTTCACACATACAAAGGTAAGTACCAGTCTTATTTAGAACGTTATATCAATATGTGCCATGGGATTGTTTGTTGTTTTTTTTTTCAACTCCCTAACAGGCTGTCATCTGCTTTAAACAGGCTGTTGATTGTCAGTTTTTCTGTTTCTTATACAGCGAGGGTAGCCGTAGTGAAGTCCAGGGACATGCACTGGTCTCTGTTAGCCCAGAGAGACCAGAAAGACATTAGCCTGAGCTCTGTCCGCATGCTGATTGTAGCCGACGGCGCCAACCCATGTGAGTTCATCTTTAAATTCCTTTTCAGAAAAAGCAAATTGAACAACCTGCTGCCAGTAAGTCACACTTTTTTTTGCCATTGTCTTTGTGTGTGTGTGTGTGTGTTGTCACAGGGTCGATATCCTCCTGTGATGCCTTCCTCAACGTGTTCCAGGCACGTGGGCTGAGACCTGAGGTGATCTGTCCATGTGCCAGTTCCTCTGAAGCGCTAACTGTCGCCATCCGCAGGTGAGTTGCTGGTATTGCACGTTATCAGGTCTGTGAATTGTCATATTCTGGTCCTTTTAAATTAATTTATTTTTTAAATAAGTAGCTAATTTTAATGAAATAAATATCTGTTGTTGTCTCATAAAAATGTTTTTCACGCTTTTCAATGTATTTCACCTATTGTTCTTCCAGACCTCCAGATGTTGGTGTTCCACCTCCGGGGAAGGCAGTTCTGTCAATGGGTGGGCTGAGCCACAGTGTGATCCGTGTGGACACAGAGGAGAAACTCTCTGTCCTCACAGTGCAGGATGTAGGACAGGTCATGCCCGGAGGTAAAGTGCGATCTGCAGCTCATAACTGCTCTTCTGTCAATGATGTCATTGATATAATCAGTCTAAAAATTGTACTCCCCTTGAGGATGGTCAAAGTTTTTTCCAAATGGCTAACTTCGGTCGATTACATGTCACATGCAAATTCTATTAAACCTGGTACGTAGAACATTTTTGCTGTGTTCAAATCACACAGCGAAAAAAACTCCAGCCTTTTGAAACTAGACCTAAAAAACGTTACATTGAAGTGATACTTCAAACAAACTTGACATATAACTGCTGCAAACCTTAAATTCATTAAATTAATTCCAAATAGGGATAACAGAATAATTTTAATTGTATTGTTTAAATGTCAAACTCCTGATTCACTGATTTGTCTGTGCAGCTCTTGTGTGTGTGGTGCGGGTGGAGGGGACCCCGTATCTTTGTCAGACAGACGAGGTTGGAGAAATCTGCATCAGCTCAGGTGCTACTGGTGTGGCTTACTATGGCCTCCCAGGCATGACCAAGAACATCTTTGAGGTGAGAACTTTACATCTGTTTTTTTCTGGTGAAATGTAAGTTGACTGTTGTTTATCAATATATATGTCAGGGGTCACCAACTGTATTTGTCAGTGGGCTAGACTTAAATAAAATGAAATAATTTTTCTCTATTATTGTTTGATGTTTGTTTTGGAATCCAGGTGTGGGCTGGATTAGGCCTGCGGGCCGCTAGTTGATGATCACTGATGTATATAATTGTGTTTCCTGTTGCAGACCATCCCAGTGACATCATCAGGGGTTCCAGTCAGTGACAGACCCTTCACCAGGACATCACTACTGGGCTTTGTAGGACCAGTAAGTTCTACTGCTCTACTGTGGACCTGAGTCTTTGTTAAGTCCTTACCAAGATATGAAGTTGTGCCCTGCAACATGTTATAAAAACCCCCATCAAATTAGGGTTGTCACCAGGCAGAAAGTTGGTTACAGTCTGTTATATTTTCTTCATTTCCAAAAGGAAACCAGTTTTTCTGCATTCAAGAAAAAGATTTAAAACTTTTTGTTAATTTATACAAAATATCAGTAAAAATAGAAGAAACAGTAAAAAGTTCAACAAACATTTACATCTGTTGGAATGATGTTGTTATGTTTCGACCAGGACAGCCTTGTATTTATTGTGGGGAAAATGGACGGACTGATGGTGGTCAGTGGGCGGAGACACAACGCTGACGATGTCGTTGCAACAGCTCTTGCAGTTGAACCCATGAAGTTTGTGTACAGAGGAAGGTATGGAGTATATAAATGAATTTCAAAACTTAATACTCATCAGCACATTAACACATGCCCCCCCCCCAAAAAAAAAATAAGAAAAAAACTAAATATAATTAAATATTGTTTTGTTTCTAGGGCTGATGTTCATTTTGGTGAAAATCAATCTGATTATATATTTATATCATATTTACTCATGTTGATTTATCTTGATTAATCGTGATAAAACCTCAGCTACCCTGTGATTAATCTGATTAAAAAATGAAAATCATTTGACAGTTCTAGTTATGTCAAAGTGTGTGTCTGTGTGTGTGTGTGTTTTCCAGGATAGCAGTGTTTTCTGTCTCTGTGCTCCATGATGAGAGGATTGTTGTTGTGGCAGAGCAGAGACCTGATGCCTCTGAGGAAGACAGTTTTCAGTGGATGAGCCGTGTACTGCAGGTACCACCTCTACTCTTTTTTTTTCATACTTTATAATCTGCTGTTTCAGTTCTGCAGTTTAGTTTTTTCTTTTTGGTCAAAGGTTTTGTGTTGTCACTGGGGGCCTCTTGTGGTAATATAAGTCGCTTAAAAGCATGAGTTGTACTCTGGAAAAACAGTAAATGGTTTTAGAGAGACTGATGTTTTACTGAGCCAAACTTTATATAAATACTCAAGTTTTTTAGCAGTTTCATTTTTCTTTATATAAATGATATAAATTTTTCTTTAAATAAATGATATATGGACAAATATTAGGATACTGAAGATGATTTAGTCGTTCTTCAAAGGTGAAAAAATACCTGCAGTGTTTTACACGCTGTTTTGTTTCCTGAAAAACCACGTCTCTCCACAGGCGATAGACAGCATCCACCAGGTGGGAGTCTACTGTCTGGCTCTGGTACCTGCCAACACGCTTCCAAAAGCTCCACTAGGTGGCATCCATATTTCTGAGACCAAACAGCGTTTCCTGGAGGGAGCCTTACATCCCTGTAATGTCCTGATGTGTCCTCACACCTGTGTGACCAACCTTCCAAAGCCCAGACAAAAACAGCCCGGTTTGTCCAACACCGCATTAACCTTCACTTTTTAAATCTCATTTGATGAGTGTAGATCTTGTTTATTAAAAAAAAAAAACTTGCTGGTTGTTTTGTACCAGAGGTTGGCCCTGCCTCGATGATTGTGGGAAACCTGGTGGCAGGCAAGAGAATAGCGCAGGCCAGTGGGCGAGACGTGGCACAGCTCGAGGACAATGACCAGGCACGTAAGGTAGATGTTTCATCCTCATCTCATCCACTCATCGCCACCACACAAACACTGCAGGCTCAGGTAAGAATTATGAGATAAAGGAGGCAAGTTGTTTCACCCTCATCAAGCATCGTCACATGCACATACGCTGTGGCTCATCACACCTGTCATTCATTTATACATATATTTCATCAGTATACAATCCAGTAAGCATTAATATAAACTCTATACAATAGACTTTTATTTTTAAAAAAACCACATGCATGTTAAGCTCTGGTGGGCCGACTGTGATTGACAGCTGAGTTGTCCAATAGTAAGTTTACTCTGAACTTTTCCTATTGAAGGTCTATTACAAGCCTACTTGTTGTGACTGACACAACAGATGTCAGTTACCTCTTTAATATTATTATCATCATAATCTCAGCTAGTGACTGTTTCTCTGGGAAAAGTGCTCTTATTAAATGATTTTCCTTCTCTTTCCTTTAGTTCCTGTACATACAGGATGTTCTTCAGTGGAGGGCTCAGGCTACACCAGACCATCCTCTCTTCCTTGTTCTCAATGCTAAGGTACTCTTCTTCTTCTTCTTCTACTCCATGAAGATACAAGATACCTAAAAAACAAGTATTTAATTTGTGTTGTTTCACTGTGATGTGTTTTGTTTTGTTAGGGAACAGTGGCCAGTACAGCGTCCTGTCTGCAGCTGCACAAACGGGCGGAGCGTGTGGCCGTCGCTCTGATGGGACGCCTCAACACTGGAGACCATGTTGCACTTGTCTACCCACCAGGTAAGAGGCGCTACGGCTAAGAAAATATGCTACGGTTAATATGATGTTTTGTCTAGATCAGTACTTTTCAAATAGTGGAGCGGGCTCCCCTGGGGGGCACGATCAGGTGAGGGGCTTCGAATGGAATATGGCACACTGGACATAAGTGTACCACTGCTGTAATGCTTGAATGATAACAAGCCTCCAGCCACTAGGTGGCAGCAACTCATACAGTGGTTTGTACAGATAAAAAAATATACATGTTATTAGATTCTAATTTGTGGAGGTATGGGTTGGGGAGGTGTGAAAACATTTCTGTCCCCAAGGGGACATGACAGAACATAATTGAGAACCTCTGGTCTAGACCCTGTCAGAATGAGTGACTCATTTTTACAACTTTAAAAACTACGTAACGACAGAAAGTTCTAATGTACCTGCACAAATGTAAAAAAAAGAAATGAAAAGAAGTGACAATGAACTTTTGACTTCACTCATTACCTTAAGTTCACATTTTTTACTTGAACATACTGGTAATAAATAACAACTCTTAGGTTTTACATTAGTAGATTTTTTTTTATATGTATATATATTTCCTATGTTTCATGTTCTCATTATCTTTAAATATTCATCTCGTACTTTTTTTTATTTTTCTGCTCAAATACTGCATAAAAGTGATCTTTATCCTCAATGCATACATTATGATAATTTAAACTAAACATTTGTGTGCAGGAATTGACCTTATTGCCACCTTCTATGGCTGCCTGTATGCTGGCTGTGTGCCGGTCACCGTCAGACCTCCACACCCGCAGAATCTGGCCACCACCTTACCCACTGTCAAGATGATTGTTGAGGTAGGAGCCTGCAACCTTGTCATTCCTGATTTAAACATTATGACAAAAAAGCCATCTTTTTCTGTACTAATACTGCAGTATCTGCGTGTACAGGTCAGTAAGTCCGTGTGTATCCTGACCACACAAGCAATAATGAAGCTGCTGAAATCCAAAGAGGCTGCTGCCGCTGTGGACATCAAGAGCTGGCCCATGGTGCTGGACACAGGTGAAGTATCCTTCTGTGCTGCACACACATAGGACGCTCAAGTTTAATTAAGCCTTTAATTAACTTAACAAACATCTTGGTATAATCCGTGTTTCTTTCATTTCTCCAGATGACCTTCCCAGGAAGAAAAGTCCTCAGATGTACAAACCTCCAACCCCAGAAATGTTGGCTTACTTGGACTTCAGTGTGTCAACAACAGGAATACTAGCTGGGGTCAAAGTACGTTACAAATGTGATAAACATATATTTTAGTTCCTTTACAGGTGTAGGACAGAAATACACATAAAAATAGAAATAGAGGTGGACTGATGGTGCTTTTATTTATCCATTTGAACACATTGGTTTAATATTGTTCATCCCATTCCTTTCTTCTTCAACTGATCACTTTTAAACTTCAGTTCCAGCCTTAGTGAATGATTCAAATCGTGTCCCGTCTCTTGTAGATGTCTCACGCTGCCACCAGTGCCTTGTGTCGCTCCATCAAGCTGCAGTGTGAGCTCTACCCTTCGCGGCAGATCGCCATCTGTCTCGACCCTTACTGTGGCCTTGGCTTTGCTCTGTGGTGCCTCTGCAGGTAAAGCAGTAGAATATTATCATTGAGGTTTACAAAACTTGTGTCTTCGACTTTTATAATCGCAGTGACGATGCATTCTTTGTATTTTTTTTTTCAGCGTGTACTCCGGCCACCAATCTATTCTGGTTCCCCCTCTGGAACTGGAGAGCAATGCATCTCTGTGGCTCGCTGCAGTGAGTCAGTATAAAGTGCGAGTCACCTTCTGCTCCTATTCTGTCATGGAGATGTGCACCAAAGGCCTGGGAGCACAGACAGAAGCACTGCGGGTCCGATTTTAATTTTTTTTTACTTTAACATTGGTGTCATTATGTAGGCGACATCTAAAAGAATAATAGTCGTTCTAAACAGCCTCAGCCTCTGTTCAGTTCAAAATCTGGGCTGTGCCAAAAATGTGTCACTGCGATGTTGCTTAACTTTTTACTCGCTTTTACAGTTGCGCAATGTGAACCTGTCCTGTGTGCGTACGTGTATGGTGGTAGCAGAGGAGCGCCCTCGCATCGCACTGACTCAAACCTTCTCAAAGATCTTCAAAGACCTGGGACTTTCACCTCGCGCCGTCAGCACCACCTTTGGGTGTAGAGTGAATGTAGCCATCTGTCTGCAGGTGAGTCTGAGGAGAAGGAGAAAGAGGAGGTAGAGCATTTTCCCAGGGATGTTGGTGTATGAGTGTATGTGCATGTATGTTTTATATATGTATATATTAATTTCATGAAGAAAACATGTATACAGTATATTTTTTTTATTTGTCCTGCCCTGTTCTGTCAGCCCAACAGGTTAGGGAAGCTGGCTGAGCAGGTACTGTGGGAGGAGAGTGGCTATTCCCTCACTGTGCTACTGTGTGTTTCTGTGCTACTTGCATGATATTTAAACATCGTTAATGTGATTTTTTTTTTTCTCTTTGGTGTTCACGTTACCATCAAAACACACCTTGTATACTGTGTTGCTGAATATTTCAGCCAAATTGAAATTTTGAAATCTAGTAATCTAGCTCTCTTAAAGCTGTTGGTCAAGCTGTATTTTATTTTTATTTATTTTGTTAATTCTCTTCTTAAATATCCAGTTCATCCCAGTGAAAGCAAACTATTTATCAACAAACATACATGTTTTGTCATCATGTTGGCAGAAATGCTCTGTGTCCATTTGTTACATCACACTCTCAGCTTCTGTGTCATGGCAAAGACTAATCCCTGGGTGAAAAACAAACATTACTCCATCTTGGCTTGATGCGCCCTCATTGCTAGCTTGGCTCTGGCTACACACTGTCAACAGAGCAGCGAAACATCCATTGTACAGTGCGCCAGTTCAGATTAAAACACAGGAGTAAGGATGACAAATTGTTAAATACAGGGAACTTACATCATCCATCAGATAAGGTTTTTTGGAATTCTCACCCTCCGGCTTCAAAGAAGTTGGAACCCTCCACCCCGTGGTCCTCACACGGTTCAGCCCAGGCCCTAACTTGTTAGTCTGGCTGTTTGGCTTTTGGCTGCCCTGACTGCTGTGTCGACGAAGTATCACATGCAGCCTCCACCTTCTTACTTCTCTGTTACTATACGAGAAAAATCCTGAGTTATCAAACTTGACTTAGCTCCGGTTTTCTTTTCCAGGGCACAGCTGGACCAGACCCCACCACAGTTTACGTGGACATGAGAGCACTCCGACATGATAGGTGAAAAACACCACTGCACTACCACCAGTAGAATTATCGCAAATTTCCAAACAGGCTTGAGGCCTGTGACTTTCACTATGTATGTGAACTAACACGTTTTTTAAATTGTTTTTCTCCAGGGTCCGCCTGGTGGAGAGAGGGTCACCACACAGCCTGCCATTGATGGAGTCTGGGAAGGTATCTGCAACCTGTTACCTCTTGTAGCTCTTTAACCTTTTAACCCCTGTGCATTGGCTTCCTGAAATGTATATCTACTATATTTGACTGAGGGCCAGTATTTTAAGAAGATTTTAAAAAATAAATGAATAAAAGTTAAGTTATAAAAAAAAATTACACCCGACACAACATTTTTAGTGTCATACGAAACACTAAATGCTAATGTGTTAGAAATTACATTTACCTGGATGTAGAGGTAATTTAGTTTTTTCTCCTTCATGCAACACATTATGCAACAGCGTAGTTAACAGCTTTAATTTTGTATTTCCTCATTAGTATAACTATAAAAACTCCATATACTGCATCACTGCCATGACTAAAATGGTGGAAATATGTTTGCAGTGTCATACGGTCATGTAATCCTGTGACTGGACTGTAAGTGGCCAGTCTTTCTTTACTTTAAAGCTGTTCTGTCTGCTTCTATAGATCCTTCCTGGAGTGAAAGTGATCATTGCTAACACAGAAACCAAAGGACCTTTGGGAGACTCGCATCTAGGAGAGGTATTTATTCTATTCTATTCTACATACACTAAGCGGACAACTTACAGTTTCCTGAGGCCTTTATCGTACACCTGTGCAACAGCGCAGCCATTAGCATATGAGCTAAAACAGCTAACCAAAGGTAACATAGCAACTTCTGTTTGTGTGATAGATCTGGGTGAGCAGTCCCCACAATGCCACAGGCTATTACACTGTCTACGGAGAGGAGGCGCTGCACGCCGACCACTTTAGCACCAAGCTTAGCTTCGGTGACACTCACACAGTATGGGCAAGAACGGGCTACCTGGGCTTCCTGCGGCGCACAGACCTGACTGATGCCAGTGGAGGTGAGATTTATTCCTTTCAGCTCTCACTTAACTTGTAGTACTGTGCCTGAGCTAAGCTAACATTAGCTCTAGCATCTAGCTTACTGCATCATTTTGCACTGAAGTGACACTGGTGAGGCTTTTAGTGCTGCAGTGATGAAAACTTTGTGGTAGTTTAAAAAAAATTAATGTGTGTGTGTGCGGGCTGCAGAGCGCCATGACGCCCTCTACGTGGTTGGCTCTCTGGATGAAACTCTGGAGCTCAGAGGAATGAGGTATCACCCAATCGACATTGAGACGTCCGTCATCCGCTCTCATAAGAGCATAGCTGAATGGTAAGAAACTGCTATGAGCTGTGTCGAATCTCTAATTTGTTTTTCTTCCGCTTTGAGGCTCCATTATTAGACCACATCATCAGCGGTTACATATTCAATCATGTTTGACTTATTTTCACATGATGTCCTTCCAGCGCGGTGTTCACTTGGACTAACCTGTTGGTGGTGGTCGTGGAGTTGGAGGGATCTGAGCAGGAGGCTCTGGACCTGGTGGCCCTGGTCACTAACGTTGTCCTGGAGGAGCACTACCTCATCGTGGGGGTGGTGGTGGTGGTGGACCCCGGCGTCATTCCCATAAACTCCAGGGGGGAGAAACAACGCATGCACCTCAGAGACGGATTTCTGGCTGACCAGCTGGACCCCATATATGTGGCTTACAACATGTAAGAGTCCGGCTGTGGAAGAATCGTCGCCCCTTATGGGTTGTTCCACTCCAGGAGAAGAGCAGGAGGAAGATGCACTGAGCTTGGTTTATCTCATTGACAGCACACTGCCCTCCTCTGTTCGCACACAGAGAGGAAATAAACACGTCACAGAAACAGGAAGGACGGAGAGGAAATGCAGGAACTAACAAAAACCACATTTTTTTCCTTCAAAAAATGACCAATGTTTTACATTTGTTTTTGTCTGACAGAAATACAACAGGTTGCCATTAACTTAATTTAATTATGTTTTTAATGCTAAGTGTCAGTGTCTTTTTCCTTTTGTTTTTGCCATAAACCAAAACTGACTTCAGTGTGAAATCCCCGTTTCTACCAAGCCCTGAAATGTTTCACCCGCAGCGTAAGAGCAGGGGTGACTAGCAGCTGTTATGTATTTGTGCTGAATCTTACAGCAGTCAGAGGGCATTACTGAACGGAACTTAATCTCAATCAAGAGAGTTGCATTTTAATTGAGCCCAAACATGCAGCAAAACTGAAAATGATATTAGCATTTCATCTCACCAACAGGAAGTCAGCTTTTTTTTAAACTTGATTAAAAATAATGTCACAGATTTTTTTTTTTCTTTTTCCTTTGCACAATATGGTAATTGGGATGAAAACTATTATTTATTTGTTGCATATAATTTTTCTTTGCTCGTCAAAGCATGAAAGGCAGAACAATCAAATGCTCTTCTGCTAGGTGGCAGCAGATGGCTATGAAAAAAAAGATAATCAAAGCTGTTGAAGATCTTTGTAGGTGTCTTTCTTCAATTCCTGCCAGTATATCAGCCTTCAACTAAACAGGCTGAGATTTTAGTCAATAACGAGGTCATTTAAACAAGAACATTTCTATATTTCATCACATACTTTTGTGAGATTTTTGTTTGGTGGTGCACTGTGGGGGTTTTCCTAATGACATATATGTGCCATGGCTCAAAAAAGGTTGGGAAACACTGCAATAGTCAACCATAAAAGTGGCCAAGCCAGGTTACTGATAGACATGTCCACCAGGAGTATTCTAGAACAACACAAATTTAGCTTTTCTTAAATCTTTTTTTTTTCTTTCCCCATTGTCAGTTGAAAATGTTGGCCCATTGTGTTAAAATCTCCATTTTAGAGACTCATGACACTGACTAGAGTTTTAACCAGTGTTTGCAGTTCTGGTTTTACACTGATTTTTCTGTTTCAGATAAGTGTAGATCTTGTTATGCCTGGGGATACATGATATGGATTTTTTTCTTCTTTTTAATCAGCACTGATAACTGAAAATAACCTGTTCTAAATGACCAATACTGCAATGATAACCTATAATTTTATATTCTCCCTTGAAGAAATAATGACTTTTTATGGCATTTTGGTGAGAATTGGATACAACAACATTTATCACTGATTTGTTGCTTGTTATGTCTCTGGTGAATTTCTTGCGGTTTTCGAACGCATGTTAAATAGAAACTGTTCATCGGTCTGTTTGTTGTGCTTTACTCTCCGCGCTGGCTGCTGCTATTGCGGCTCCATACTGAGTACAGCTTCCTAACGACAGCGATCATTTAAATGACTTCTTTAATTTGTCGTGTCGAAACTGGTAGACTTTTACCCTCTGTGAATTTAGGCTGAGCACGAACACAGATTGAACCTTTTTTTTTTGTCTTACAACATAGTTTAAAAAAAACATCCATAGCTAACGCTGCGTTAGCTCCGTTTAGCTGTTTTTAGCATATGAGCTAACGTCTCTGCCAAAGTGCAGGAGTGTGACGTCAGGGATTTGGAATTCCACGTTCCTGGTGTTACACTCCTGCTTCAGCTCCGTCAATAATTGGATGCGTGTATTCACCGTGCTCCCTTTATCGGTCAAATTAAATCACCTTAAATATCATCATCTTCGATCATTTATCGGCTACCAATAATATCGTGCATCGCTAGTTGCAGAAGCACTGAAACGCAGCAGAGGCGGCGTGAATAGTAGTATCATTTGTTGCGAACAACTTTGCTACCATGAACACCTTTTTAACCATTTATTTCTTCTTTTCTTTCTTTTTTAATTTGAACAATATGCAATATGTGTGACGAGAGTCGTTTTCTGGCTGCAGAAAGTAAGCACCAGTTTTTAGAATCCTTGTAAATTAAAAGGAAAATAATTGTTGCGTACTTTTTCAGCAGCGTGCCAAATGTTAAGCCTTAGGCGTTTTGTTTCAGAGGCCTCTTCCTGCTCCGCTCCTGTCAAACTCGGTTTTGTGAAGTTTCTCGGCAGATGCAGGTGAGTTTGGGTCCTATCAGTTGCACCTTAACTTTGTCAACTTTCCAGCAAAGATTAATTTACTCGATGCTAATGTCAGCCATTACAAACAAACACACACTCACATAAAAGTGTTTTTTCAATAATGTCTTTTCATCAGTGGTGATAAATGTGTTTTATAGCGAAAGACTGGTAAAAGTTGTAGTTGGTCATGGGTTTGATGCAGAATATCGGTGTCATTTCAAGATGGAGTAGAGGCCATGCGAGCCGCTTCAGTTTGTCTTCACTTTGTGAAGATTTGCTTCAGAGTATTTTTCCCCCTGGTTTTCTTTCTTTCACAAACAGGCTGCGGCCTGCTGTAAGTATGTACAGGATTTGTGTAAATTATTAAACGGTGGAGGAGTTGACAGGACATTTGATGCAAAGACTTTATGTGGCGCTGACAAGATCTCCCTGCTTCAAAACTCTTTGAATTGGATTCGCATGTTTGGACAGCAGGGAAGAGACATTGTGCCACTGCGGAGTCCATTCTCAAGAGGCAACAAAGCACACATGAAGCGGGAGACACAGTGACTGCAGACGTCACAACCTTCTCAGCAAACATGTTTTGTTAACATGAGAAAAAGATACATTTGTCAGATATACTGTTAGTTGTCATTATTTTCATAACATGACTTCTTAATAAATGAATAAAAAAGCTTTTACCTTAACGACCTTTGTGGTCTCTGTGCCTTTTCTGTCCATTAACACTGTTTTACTAATTATGCAGACGCAGCAAGAGTGGACCTCTAAGTCGGCGGCCAAGGCCTAGCAGTTGAAGACTGACGGAGGACTGCTGGTTGAAATTCTAACCTGGGCTGTGATGTACTAAGGTATTGCAGACCAAAACATTATATAATACCAGTTTGTTCTGCTAAATGTTATCTTTTCTGTTAAAAAAATTATACTGACGTAACAGAAATATTTTCGTTATCCTTTATTCAAATGTTTGACATTTTTCATTTTTGTGACATACAGTGTAAAGTGCACTGGTTACACAAGCTTTTTGATTTAACTATATATATTCACATCAAAGAAAACACAAAAATGCATATTTTAATGACGCTACGAGGATTCTGTTATGACTACCTGAATAAAGTTGTACAAAGTATTCGACCCGACAAGGAAACAGAAGAAAGTGAGTTAAACAGAACAATAATAATAGGATGACAGTAATTGGTCCCTGTAGAGCAGAGGTTTTCAACAGATGAAGTATGCCACCCCGTGCATGAAGTGAAATTATTTGCTGATGCAATTAATCTTTTATCAATGCCCTTTTTTATATAAATTTGAGAAAAATAAAACGTTTTGAGATACATTCTATCAGTTGTTAATGGAACTCATCAATGCCAGGAGCACACAGAAGATGCATTCATTGCAGAGGCGTGTGTGGGTTAGAGCAGGTGGACAGGATTTTGGGGAAGGGCCTGGGGAGCTCGGCTGTCCTCATCTACTCTTTTAGGGGAGGCTCACATTCACCCAATTTGAAAACCCCTGTTATAAAGCATACAGCACAAGTAACAACCTTGAATGACATTTTTTATCACCTGTATGTTGGTGGAGCAAATTCAAAGTAAGCATTTAGAAATGACATGTTAACTAGTTTAAACATTAAAGCGATTACATGAGATCAGATTTTTGCAGCCGTGCAAGAATAATGGTTTCAGGTTTACCTTACATTGCACGTTTTTTTCTGTAAAAAAAAAAAAAAAAGTTTGATGCTTGTTTTTTGTTTTGTACTTCTAGTACTTTCATGGTCCAGTGACTGACATTATCCAATCCCTAACTCACGTACTCCTCTATGATACTGAGGAGCTCAGATGCCTTGTTGATGGCACTTATTTCATTCTCTGTGGGGAACTGTCCATTTGGAATATTAGGATAACGATAGCAGCTGGGATATTGAGTCCTCTTGGCGTCCACTCCCATGAGCTTGAGCTCTTGCACAATTTGGCTTACCACTTTGAGTTGGGTGCTGTAGTTGGAAACCTGTGCTGCGAGCATTGAAATGGAGCAGCTGCTGTTGTGATGGTGACCGTCTCGTTTGTATCCGGCTGCTACCAGAGACTTCTCAACTGCTTGGTGGACTTTAAACAGACACCATTCAGTGCTGTCTCCATCTGTGTCCTTGTACGCTGCCTTAAGATCGCAGCGAGCCTGTTGGCACCAGCGTTGAGCCTCCTTCTTGTTTGGCTTGGGGATATTTTCGTTATGGGTCCAAGAGTGGCTCGAGTTTCTTTCTCGACTTTGTTTGTGACTCCTGGCTTCCCTGTTCCATTGTTCGTAAAAGGTATTGAAATTTGGTCCTGCCCTTGAAGAGGATGAGCTCCTGCATGGGCCTCCTTCACTGCTGAGCTCTTTGACTCTTGTTTGCAAGTACTGACAAGCTTCTGTGGCCAAAAACTCAGAGCCTGAATTTTTATCAGGATGAAATCTGAGGTACAGACGTCTGATGGCTTTTCTTCTCTGTTCCTGAGAAAGAGTCCATATCTCTGCTAAGCATCGGTCAATCTCTCTTTTAATTTCGTCAAATGATGCTGGCATAGATCTTGTGGATGAGGAGCCAGATGTGGAGGAAGATGAACTTGGATTTGGACCAGCTTTTTCCAGTAGCTGCAGCTCCTTGCAGTGATTTTGGGGAGGTGTGCTCGTCCCCTCGTCCTCTGTCTTCTTTTCTCGTTTAAACTGGTACAGGTCAATGCAACTGACTTCAATTGGCTCATCTCCTCCAACATTCACTTTGTACCTGTGTGAATATTGCCCTGTGTTTCCTTGCAGTTCTTCAACAATAACAGCATATATGTATTTTTCTGTCTCATCCCTATAACCAACATATTCATCCACTTCAAAGTTGTTAAGGATGTCCATGTCTAACCAGTCATGCCATTCTTTTGGTACTTCAGTCCCAGGAGCAGGTGGCTCAAGGAGGCTTTTACCTTCTGCACTGTCACGGATTTTGTTCTTTGCTAGAATTTTTTGAACATCTTGCAGCGTGTCGCAGAGAAGAAGTTGTTCAAGGGCTGCAAAGTGGTGCAATGAAATTTTGTTGTCTGAAAGGGCAATAATCTCCTTTGCCAATGTCATGTTCACTTCACTGATGACTTTATGGGGGATGCCATCATTGTGTTTCAAATAAAAAATGCAACCATGTTGCCCTTGTTTGACACAGATTTCACTGTCACTGGCTGTGTTCTGAAGTGGCTCCTTGTTCAGCCAAAGCATAGTTTCCAGGTTTTTGCAGCAGACAATCTTCATGCTGCCATAATTTTTCTGACACAGCATAGCAGCATCTTCGTGTTGTATTTCACCTCCCGAGTGGCTGCGGATCAGGCATATTAATCCGTGCCTGAAGGGTAAAGAGGATAGATGTTCATCAAACCATCCTCTGAACTCACACTCATCCTTAAGCTCACATTGCTGAATCTTTTCTTCCACCAGCTTCTCCTCTGTGACCTGGGACAGCATTTTCGGTTGAAAGGAAGTCGGCAGCAAACTCAACCACCGATGATGTTTGTAGGTGTCAGGACCCAAATGACAGTTTATGAATTTCTCGAGCAACAGGAACTTCTCACCCAGAGCTGGTTCTAACCTTTGGGCCTCAAACACAGTATCATTGTAGTACAATGTGGACGATGGGTGTAATTTACCATCCACACCAAGAAGATGCAAAGACGTTACGCCATTAAGATGGGCCTGCTTTTTCTGTTCTTTGATTGTATAGAACAACTGATGAATGGCACGTTTCACTGTTCTGAGCTGATTCGCTTGTAGTTGTTGCTTTTCACAAGTTTCATTGTAAACCGATTCCAGCACTCTGCAATAATGTGCTGCAGTAGGGTTTTCTTTCACACCCAGTTTCATGAAGAAATCTTTAAAAATCACATCCTTTGAGTGGATTTCGTATAAATACGGTCGGAATTCCTGGGCATACCGGAGTACAAGAACTGTGTCCTGGTCCTTCACAAGTTCTTTGTCGTTTTCAACCAACACCACGGGTAGACCTGTCAGTGTTTTTGCTTTGAATCCTTGACCCTGCAAGTGCATGTAGGAGCATCGAAACACTTGAGCTCGCGTTTTAATGAGCTCACTGGATTTACATGGAGATACACAGATGTTTCTCATGTTAGCAACCACATACTCTGCAGGTGGCTTTTCGTGGGCACCTGCGTTTTTCATCATCTGCAGCAGGTTGTAAAACATACCTACTGGTAACTTTATAATTGGCATTGAAGACCAAATCAAATCCTGATCTTTGGGATCATTGTCTATTAAAGAGCCTCTGATTTTCACAGCTGTGCTTTGATCTGCAAATGGTTTGTGGTAGTCACACAGTTCTTTTCTTATTCTCACAGGAAACAGGAAGTTGATGTCAGCTATGCTCTCCAGCACTGTTTTATCTTTATTGTTCGGATCACTTGCTTTTGCGAGGGCTGCTTTAAAAATCAGCAATGATTTATCTTTCAAATCTTGGAGGTGACCACTTCTTTTAGCTTCTGATTCTAACTGATGTGCAAATTTTATTATGTCATTTTTTGACACCTCGTGCTTCATTCCAAGTTCTTTGAGCAGCATCTCAATTTTGTCCTGACTTTCTTCACCAAACAGATTAAAAAATCCTTCAGGAACAAACATCTCTTTGGGAAGCATTTTCTCATATAAGGGAACACGTTTGTCAAAGAAGTACGATGCCATCTCTAATTTACCCTGAGAACTGCAGATCCACTTAACTGTTTTTAATGTTGGAATGATTTTCTCCATGTAGCTGAGACCGATTAAATGACGCCGCAGTGACAACAAGAATCTAAAGCAGTCAAGCTTCTGCTCTCCTGTGAGCTCATGTATAGCAGGCAGGATAAATGTTGTGAAATACTCATCATCAGTCAGTTTTGGGATTTTTAGAGACTCTGACAGACTGCAGTTGTCCAAAGTATCTTTGAGGAAAATGCTGTTGCATTTGGGCAGTTTGAGAAGATCCGGATAACTCATCAAATGCTGGCTTTGGAGGACAAACACCTTGAGAGGTCCGTCAATTCGCACTCTATCACCAGATATTGTTTCAAAAAGAGGTAAGGATTTCAACTTTCTCTGAAAGTCCTGTTTGTTTTTGGCCTTGGCCACGCCTGACTGAAGAAATGTCTGGAGTTCGCTTTTTTCATGATTCGAAAGGTTGGAAAATTCCAAGTTGTTTTTGTTACAAATCTGGTCGAGCACAATGCTACTGTCATTTACATCCATAAGTTCGGGTTTCAGAAGTAGAGTTAGTTGTTGATTTACATGAGTCTCCGTGAAGAACCTATTGTGGAGCTTCATAAAACCAAGTTTAAAGAGGACACTTGAGATGTCCCTGTCACTTGCAAACTGTATGACACTTGACATGTCTTTCATTCTCTGTAGCAAGTAGTTGTTCTTTAGCTGTGGACACTCTACAGGCAAGATAAAGCAATCACTGAAAAGCTCCTTCACGTCACTGAACTTCAGAGTTTCGTTGTCGTCGCTGTTTATCTCTTGTTTAATTTCACTTTCCAAGAACTTCCACAGTGACTTCAACCACTTCGACATGGTCTCATTTGGAACATAGAAACCACTGTGAGAATCAACTTCACAGCTTTGGAGATGGCGCTGGATCAATGGTTTCAGATAGTTAGCTGCACATGGAACTGTCAGATTTTTGACAAGGTTATATTTTTGTAGAGTTTCCCTGTTTTCTCTGTTAACTGTAAAATCTGCAAATTGTTCCATGTCATCAAGAAATAGGCTGTCATGTCTTGTGATCACTTTTGGAGATTTGGAGTTGAAAACTCTCAGAACTTTATCTCTTGTCAAAAGAAGGGGAAGTCCATCTAGAATATCTGAATTTTCCTCTGTGACCTTTGCTGAGATTAAATCTTTTAGGCAGTATTTAAGGAGGAGTGAACATCTGTTTTCATCTCTAATCAGAGTAGAGGGTAGGGGCAGGGGTAACGTTTCAGATGTTTGGGTTGGGTCATTCAGAGGTTTTTCTTTCAGGAAAGATCGTACAGTTGAGGAATTGACCATCTTTAACTCAACGCCTGCATTATTGAAACTTCTCCAAATTTCTTGCATTTTATCGGAAAATGGAACCAATTTCATACCAAGTTCTTCCAAAATTTGACCAATTTCAAAAGTGAATGGCTCTGCCAAGTAAAGTGCATTTGTTCTCCCTGTCTCTCTGATGTCACACCAGTCAAAGGAATATTCTTTTATAAAGGATTTATGAACATTACGCACTGAAGTTTTCTTTACTGGAATCACAGTAAGGCCCCTTTCTTTGATTGATCTGTACACCTTGTGGATCATTTCATGCCAATCCTGATCAACATCCTTTGAAGCAACTGGCCAGAAACATAGGTATGTGTGTTTGAAGCAACTCTCAATGAATGTAGTTTGGACTTTGGTCTTTGCAACACTCAGACTGATGTGGTGAAGGAGATCTGCATACAGAGGAGCTACAACTGTCTCTTTCAGCAATTCATTCCATTTAGTTTTTAGGCTCTGACCATCTTCCTTCCAAAGATTTTTCCTGGAGGAATCAACCTCAAAGTTTGCATTGATATGCACTGGCAGGCCAGTCTTTCCTGGCAGAGGCAGAGAACAAAATGCTTCTCCCTTGAATTCCAAGGTGCTTGAATTCATTGATGCTGCTATTGCTGCTTGGGGAAGTTGGTCAAATGTAGTAACATTTCCCTTGGTTTTTGCAAATGAGCCAAACTGTTCTGCAATGAGCCACTGACTTTTCAATCTACCTGACGTTGAAATTGTGGTTTCATAAATGACTTTTTGTGGTTTGGCTACTTTTGCAGATGTCAGGGCCTTTTGTTGGAGCTTTACAAATGTATCTTTCTTGTCTCTGCTTGTCTGTGTGACACTTTTTTCAACCATGAAGATGGTTTCCATTTGTCCTGATTCTTGGTTGATTTCATGGACTACTATTTTGCAGATGTTTTTCAAAAACAGGATCAGTCCTTCAGGGTCCTTAGAAAGAACAGAACAAAGTTTTTTCATGTACTCATCAGTGACTGACTCGTTGGATATTTTGGAGCTGTTTGCCATGTTCCCTGCTCTTAAAGGTAATCTAAACATGGTACCATTCCTCAGAGGGAACTTGTTTGGAAGAAAGGAACTGTAGACATCCTCGTACATGGCCTTTAAATTGTCAGATAGATTGTAGCCAATGCCAGCTGGTGGTTTTCCTGAACTACTCTCAATGTATTTTTGATTGGGATCAAAAATGCACAAAAGGTCGTCTCCAGTCAGAATTGAAGGACAGTCAGTTAAGTGGTAAACAGAGTTGAATCCAACACCATATTTTCCTGTCTTCCCTAGGGAGTTGTGCTTCCCCCCTTCTCCCAGCTGCTGAATGCCTGCTAGGTCAACATCTGAAAACACCTTGTTGTTGAACACACACAGTGCTGGCCCTTGAAGTTGGTTCCATTTCTTGCCAAATGTTTTTTCTTTACCATGCTGTCGTTTGTCCCAAACAAAGTGGATTTCTGTGGCCTCTGCATCATCTGCATTCTGGATCAACTCCTTCAAGATGTCCTTCTTCGAAGGATAGGCTGAAATAATGTTTTTGATTCGAACAGTGAGCTCCTCGTGTTGTTCAAATGGAAATGCAAATGGGGCAATGTCCTCTGCTATGTGGATTTGTAAACTATGATGCCTTGTTGTCTCTACACCAAAGTGGCGAGCCATTGCACGGGACACATTTTTGTGGCAGAGTGTGACACCAGCATCCACTGGCATCCACGGACTGTCATTGTAAAACATTGCACTTGCTGGCTGTAAAACTCCATGCTCATTAGGTATTGGACAGTCATTTGTCTTCTCTTCTGCTTCAAATATTCCCTTGTTTAAAATTGTGAGGCACATGGACAAGTCATGTTGAGCCAAGGACTTGGTTCCATATTGACTGTGCAGTTCCTCTAGCACAGACACACATTGACTGACTGTATATTTTTCTGCAACACCTACACTTTCCCAGAGCTTCTCAAAGCGTTTAAATGCATCTGGGAGAACATGGAGGTAGGGCTTTGCTTCAAATTGCTCACTTTTAGCAACACAAGTCACATTTGCAAATGTGCTGCCAATGAGAATGAAAGGGAATGACTTTGCTTTTTCTAAAACATCAGATGGATCTTCATTGTCGATGAGCCACTGGTCCAGAAACTTATAACATTCAAATGCTATTCTGTGAAGCATAGATTTGTCAATAGACTTTGACTGTCTGTATGCTCCCTGCAGTTGCTGTAGCACTGTCTCTGGGCTTGGTGTGTCATGAGTTCCCAATATTTTGAGGACTGAATCTGTGTTGTGTATTTTTAGTTTTTCATGATCCAAAACAGGATGTATCAGGTTCACAAGTAGGTTGCAGTTGTCAGTAAAAACATCAGTGGGTCTTTTGAGTGTGACGACTGGTTTCTCTTTGTTATCATCAGGTGAAATTGCTGGTAGAAATTCAGTCATCTTTAACGTTTCCCAGTAGTTGGAGTCTATGTCATACATGTGATGCTTAATGAGTTCCAGGAGGCATTTTATTTGCTCATTTGCTTTCTCTCTGTCAGTTCTCCATGTTTGGCAAATGGTTCCTGCTTTCTCTGTGATGTCTTTTAGTGGCAGATAATCACTTGCCATTCCAAGTTCCAACAAACGCTGAATCCTTTTGGGCGAAGAAAAGTCATTCTTAGATCCCCCAAGCAAGCGCCCCTCATGTGGTTCAAAAAGACAAGCAACCTTTCCTGACGGGTTCACAAGTTGATTGATGTACTGTAAGTTTCCACCTGTTGTGGGGATGCATGGGAAGTTGACCAGTAGATTGTCAATTTCCTCAGTGTTAAGGTCAATTGCATGCAAAACAAGAGAATCTCTAGTTGTAGGGTCAATGGTTGCTAGGTTGTTAAACACTACCTCTTTAAAAAGCTTCTCCCAGTTCCATGTCCTGTCCTGCAAAACATGCTCTAGCCTTGCCTGTTTGAAGTTATTTCTCAACCACAGGGGGAGAGGAACAACACGTTTGGGTTTTGTTACATATTTCTTGCAAATGTCCTCTGCCAGTGCATGAATGTCTTTATTCTCTTTGATGCTCTCATGTAGAAATATGGCATTTTCCATTGTGCACCAATGTTCTCCATCACTGAACAGCTCTGGGCCAATGGAGTTTTTGGCAATGGCTGAGTAAAAGGCATCAACCAATGGCTTAAAAGTTTCACTGACTTCTTCTCTGTCAGGCCAAAAGGTGTGATAAGTATACTCTTCCAGTTGCTTGTCTTGAGACATTTTCTTTAATGTCAAGAGGGTAGTGAGATATGCTGTCATTATAGGATCCTGAAGAAGAGCTTTGTTCCATTCATGTTTCATACCACTTTCCCAAAGGGCTTTCCTGTTGCTTGTCACTGCAAATGTACCGTTTACATTAACAGGAAGACCAGTGCAAATTGACAGCGGAAGGAAGCAAAATGCCTGTCCAACAAGATGTGTTTGTGATGACCTGAGTTTTTCTGTTTGGGGATTTTTTTGCAAAGGTACAGCAACGCCTCCAATGGGAAGGGAGAATTTGGTATTCTGATTTTCTTGAAGGGCCATTTTCAAAGCGCTGTCCAACCCATAGCAGTTGTACTGGAGCCAGTGTTGAACTTCAGTTTTACCACAGTGCTGACTGGTGATCTGGATGATATTCACTGTACAGCAGTCTATGATCTTTGATTTTTCATCGTGATTTGTTAACATTCTCTCAGCCTCACATTGTTTTGTCACGCAGGTTTCCTCAGTAACTCTTGTCGTACTAAGAGTTCTTTTTGAGATGGTAAAGACGGTATCTATTTCATCGTCTCTGGGTGGTGTTGATCCAGTGTTGGAGATAGTTTGTAGGGTTAAGGTGCTGATTTTCTTAAGAAAAAGCAGGTGAGTTTGTGAATATTCAGTGAACTGCTGCTGAAATCTGGTGATGTTGTACTTGTCATACACTTTTTGGCTTATTTCTGACTGGGCAGCCTCTTCTGCAGTTCGAAAAGGAAGTTTTATCAGTGTACCAGGATAGGGTCCAACAGGTTTTTGTTTTGAAAAATCAAAAATGCCTTCATATGGTCCAAACTGTCCAGGAAAACACTTGAAGTGTCGCTGCTGAGATAGATCAAGTTTGATTCCTGGATTTGTTTTGTGCTTTATGTGCTTTTTAAGGTGACTAACATTTGGGTCGAGTATGAGAAGACTGCTGCCACTAAGTATTGAGGGAATATCTGTCACATGGTAAACAGTGTTGAATCCCAGTCCGAACTTCCCAATCTTTTCCACCTGGTTTTCTTTTGAGGCAGAGCCAACTCTTATTATGTTTTTCCAGTCCTCATCCCAAAACTGCTCATTGTTAAAAGCCCAAAGACAGGGTCCCTGACAAAGGGCCATGTTAGGATCTATAAGGCTTTCAGGAGCATCTCGGTGTACTCTGAAATCCACCAGGAATTTACAGACATCTGCTCCAGCATCCTCTGCATTTTGAATAAGTTCTTTGAAGATGTCACTGTCTTCATCATATTCTTTAAGGATGTTTTTAATTCTTGTTGTTATTGGTTCTGATTGTCCACACTGTTCAATTCCGACTAACTCTGGGTCAAGGATGTAGGTACTTAGAAATTGAATGTTTAACCATTCAGCTGTGGCTTTTGGGATTTCCTCGTGTATGATGTAAACTTCCTCCTGATTGCAACCAAACTCTTTCAATGCACTTTTGCTGAGATCACAGAACACTGTAGTTGATTTTGGTTTCAGGGTGTATTGACCACCTTCCAAAATGACTGGCACTGGAATGTCATCCCCAACTGCCTTTCTCTCTTTCCAAAACCAATTCAGGATATCAACTGACACCTTCACCTCAGAAGAACTTGCAGTAGACTGTTGCTCCATGATGGTTTGCTGAATCGAATAGAGAATAGCAATGATTTCTTCATCAGAGTTCAGTGTTTTGAGGCCTGAAGCCTGGAGGAGCTCTTTGTATGGCAGAAATTCATTTGACACTTTTCTAATGTACAAGCTCAGGTCTAGATTGCGTGGGTAGTCAAGAAACAAGTCTTTCGCAGATACAAACTGGTCGTGACTCCAAATCCAACAGATGTCTGTGTTTATCCTGGATTTAAATTCAGACATATAGTCCTGCATATGCCTGTAAATGCTATGCAGCTCCTTTTTGAAACATGCATTTTTGTCAGGATCACCCATTTGCCTTGTCTTTGATGCTAAGGCCAACAAGTTCTCTATTACTTTGTCAGGTGGGGGTGAGCATTTGAACCCAAGTTTGGTGCTGACTCTGTCACTGAGGTTTTCCACAAGAGGCATCACACGTCCAACAATGTCTTTATACATAGAGTCTCTTGTTTCATTGGGGCAAAAGAAACTTCTCTGAGATTTTTCTTCATCAGGTTTATCACATGGTACCCATTTCAGCTTTTTTAGTTGTTGAAGCTGCTCATGAGTAAACTTTGAGAGCAGATCAGTCACATCCAACATTTTAAGGAGAACCTGAGCCCTTTTCTGAGCTTCGGTCGGAGAAGCAAGATGCATTTTATCAATCAGTGTTGCAGCATGTAGAAATGCAACGGGCGAAACATCTGCTTCCTTGTTCATCAAACCAAGATCTGTGAGGCTTTCAAGCATCTGTGATGTTTGAGTGTACTTGTGCGGAGGGAAGAGGTCAGACTCAAATATGACAGTGAAAGTATGAATTCTCGGGTCAAAAAAACATGAAACCTTTTTCTGCTGCCCTTTCACTTCAATAAAACTTAAGTTTTTACATCTGTCTTTCAAGGCCATGTTTTGAGGGAAGAGCATACTGCCGTGCTGTAAAATCCAGGTCATGATTTTTTCAGTATCATCTTTAGAGCATGACCCTTTCTCAATACAATCAATGAGCAGATTGGCTGCTTCAGCTGTGCTTAGGAGTTTAATGTCAAGCAGCTGCAACAGTCTGCGATCTGCTTCAGTAGCACACTGGACAATTGAGTCAGGCAGAGGCAGCTCTGCTGGTACTTTAAAGTCAGATATGAGAAGCACGGCCTGTTTTGACTGAACTGCGGAACACTGTCCTTTCATAGTCTGAAAAAGAGGCAACTTTGAGAGTAGGTTTTTTTCACAACTCGAAAGTGATTTCAGACAGGACAGATATTCTTTCAGTTCATCTCGAACTGAGTGAGATGTGGCTTTGAGTTCCGTGATGAGACGCTGGCATTCTAAATTAACCAACACTTTAAGGACATTCACTGGAGAAGGCTGCAACACATAAGAGTCTAGATCTGTGTGTTTGAGCCAGATGTTTTCTTTTACCACAGTGCCACCAGCTTTGTTTACCAATGTAGCTATTTGATCAGGCAGTTTAGCATCTTTGTTCGTCTGAAAGATATAGTTTGTTTGCAATGGGGCTAATGGTACATTGTGACTGACAGACAGATTCCCAACTGGTATTAATGGGATACCAGTGAAACGACTTAACTCCTTGAAATGAGAGTTGAGAAATACCCAGAATTCCTGTATCCATTTCAAAGGTGGATGTTGACTGCTGCTGGTGTCCCAGGTCACAAGCCCTGTCCTGGTGTCCTTCCATTCCTGGGGCAAGAATCTCCTGGTATACTCAGCCACGTGGTTTGCATCAATGTTGATAACCTTGTACAAATCTGAAATATAGTTTGATATGGTTATGATATGATTGTGGTACAGTAGATAGAATACACCATTAAATCTCTTCCAAGTGTAATACTGCATCATTACTTTTTGTGCCCAGTGCTTTCAAGTAGCTGGTACATGCTTGACTGAGGTCATCTGGGATGAAGAGGTGTTTGCAGAGTGGCAGCAGTGTTCTGAGGAAAAAATGGCATTTCATTTTAAGACTACACTCTGAAAACAAATGCCAAAATGAATTGAGTGTGAATATATCAAAATGTTGTTGCTTTTCAATTCACATTAAGTTAAAAATGTAAAAACAAATTGAAATACATCTGTATATTTGTAATTAATTTGTACCTTTAATTACTTAAACAGACAAAAACTTTACTAAATAAATTGTGTTATTGACAAAACACTTCAAAGAGGTTAAGACTTACTATCAAGATTGGGAATACAGGCACAATAATGCAGAAGCTCAGGTTGACATTGAGAAAAGTCACATGCTTCTATAGCAACAACAACTTTTTCAAGTGTGCATGTGCATCACTGGCCTGCCTGCAGTCCAGATCTGTTTCTATTGAAACTGAGAATACACTGCAGTCTATGTAGCAAGAGTTGAGTGTGTTGCTGTTATTAAATTCTAAATTATAATTAATGTTTAACAACATAAATTAAGTTGGTCAGGGAAACCTAACAATGTCAAAAATTACATCACAAAGGATTGAACTTTACCTTGGGAAGTCTTTGCTGTCTATTAAAGTGGTGTCTTCATCTCTGTCAGAGAAAGATCTGAAAGAGCCGTCACTGAGTGGGAGCAGCTGAAGACCTTTAAGTTCTTCATATTTCTCATCATTCAAAACATACTCCAAGAGACAGACTTTGTTGTCTTTGGGGATGTCATATGTGCCAATTCTTCGAAGAGTGTTCCTCACAAAGGCTGGAGTCACATGTTTCAGGGTGCCGACATTTGGAAAAGCTTGGTTAATGGCTTTTGCAACATGTACTGGTAATGTGACCAGGTTCTCGCCACATGAAATCAAAGTCTGTTTAATGGCAGCCAATATTTCAGGACTAGTTGGACCATTACAGGGGAACACAGCTTCTGATGGAGAGATGAAGCTTTTTTCGTCTTTTGCAAGAGAGAGGACTGCCACCTTCTCTCTGAATATGTGACTTAAAACATTCTGAACAATGACCTGCCATTTTTCTTTGTGCTGAATCTGGGCCATATCCGGCCACAGATCGTACACAACAGGGACAGGAAGAAGAGACCGTTTGGCAAGTCTGATGGCATCTTGGATGATCATTAAGTATGCATGTGGGAGCACCTCCTTCATCAGCAGCTCATTCCATACAGCATGTTCATCATGTTGCTGGTCTTCTTCTTGCCACTTGATTTCTCGTCTATTGTCAGTGAGACCAAAGCAGGCGTTGAGATGAACAGGAAGTCGTGTCTTGTTGGACTCATTGTTTGGAAGAGGGAGAAAGCAGCTCAGTCTACTCTGACCACAGTCCACCTTTCTATCACATGGAAAAGCCAGATCAACCTGAGGGAAAAAGCTCAACTTTTTTGCTAGTGAGTCAAGGTTTTCTACCGTAGTTTCTTTCATGGTACACGTTGTCAGTAGCCACTTGGTGTCTCTCTGTTTGTCTGAGTGAAGAGTAATTATTTTGAACATTGTTGAGCCTTCAACAGCGGAGTTTTCCTCTGACAACAAAACAGCATCTGGCTGCACTGAGGATGTCACTTTAAACCTGTTATTGACGGTACCGTGCACGTCGATATGTATCAGTGACAAAGAGGTGACATGTTTGAGGAACAGGAGGCTCAAGTCTGCATCTGCAATGAAGCTGTCAAAAAGCTCAACCACCCTCTTCGAATCATACAGATTGTCTGAGATTTCAGACTTCTCTTTGCGCAATGGAAATCTGAAGATTGTGCCATCGAAGTAGTGGCTGTCCATGACAACTTCAGACCACTCTTGTCCACTCACAAGCGCAACTATGTCTCGGAAAGGTTGAAACTGGTCTTGCATGGACATCAGGGTTTGTTGGTCATCGGGGTCATCCAAAGACCAACGAAAACCCCCATTTTTCTCTCCAAATATTTTTTCTTGGGGGTCCATGAAGCCAAGGTGGACTGAGCTGAATATACCTGGCACATCTGTGGACAGGATCAAAGAAATACTGTGTAGCTTTGTTTTTCAAAAACATATATGGCTGTAAAAGCAAATATTTGCACCTGTGGTGTGGTAGACGGAGTTAAAGCCGATTCCAAACCTCCCGACTTTGTTTGGGTCGTTGCGTTTGACACTCCTCCCTGCCATCTGAATCCCTTCCCAGTCATCATCAGTGAAAGCAGCATTGTTGTAGGCATATAGAGCAGGCCCTTTGCATAGGAATAAGATTAAGGAATTAAACATTTGAAAATATGTGCACAAGACCTAAGGTCTGTCTCTTTACATTCTGTTTTACTAGTAGGGAGCAGAATATAGGAAATAGCTGCCCAGCTATAGATTTGTTCAAATTTTTCATGTATAATAACATACAGTTTATTTAAAATGTTTTTTTTTTTAAACTCACCCACTTGCTCACTCAATCACTCACTCGCTCGCCCACTCACCTTGGTATTTTCCCAGTTCTTCGGTAAAGAGGCTCTTGGTTCCATAACTTCTCTCATCATGGATAAAAATAACCTCTGTGGCCTTGGCATCATCTGCGTTTTGGATCAATTCCTGTTAATGAATTGAAAAAAGACCATGAACAGTTGTGCAAATAAGGAACAACATCCAACTGTCCAACTCACTATTCCAACCATGAGAACTTGCTAACATACATTTATGTGACTTGTTAGGCAATTTAAGCTTATTAAATAGAATGTACAGGGTTTTTTAAAAAATAAACAGTCTGAAAGGAATGTGGAAAGAATAGTTCAAATCTATTGGTCAATAAATAAATCTTTATTTAAATACCTTTCTTTTTTTAAAGGTTGTACTTTATTTACCTTTAATATTTGTCCTCCATCTGGATAGCGGCGGAGAATATCTTTCAGGTAGTCAATAAACGGTGGAGCTGTCGCCCCGAATGACGTTCTAAATAAAAGTTTGAGAGTAAAAAAAAATAATATCAATGTTGAGAAGCACAACAGCTATGCCCGTATTAATATGTCCAATAAATTTAAAGAAACAGTGACCATTCCTAAAAGCTATTCTGCATAATGGTCAGGACACTAACTTCATAAACAAATAATAAAGTAATATACAGTATAGACAAGTATTAATTTATCAGTTAATATTTATTTAATTATTCTTTTGTTGTTTGCTATATTAACAGCCTGCGAAAACCACACCAGTTTTACTTTTAATAAGTTGAGATAAATGGTGATGTAAAGTGTTTCACAATTCTTCAACTCTAACGATTACAATTGTGGCTTTTTTTGTAATTAGATTTATTTGAAAAAAATATAGAACTATGTTATAAATGTTGTGTGTGATCTTCATTTTGGAAATAAATTGGCTACAATCGTAAAATGAGACAAAGTGAACTGTGAACTGTGTCAGGCTAATGAAAAATACCAACTCACCGAGATTTCCTCTTTGTCTTTAGACTCATTTTTTTTCTTCTTTAACACTTTAAAAAAAAAAGAATGGCATTAGACCATTGTGAAATACTACATCAAACATAGCAGGATTCTGTCACAGTCTGTTCCTTGTGCCTTTGCTCCTTTAACAACCTTTGCTCCTTTAATCAGCTCCTGCCTTTGCTCCTTGAATCTGCTCAACCACTTCCACCTCCTACCATCACCATGGATCAGAAGAGACTTAAGAGAGTAAAGAGACTACGCCCAGGGAAAGCAACCCATCCAGACAGTGTGTCAAAGAATGCTCAAGGCCTGTGCTGTGGAACTAGGTGAGTGACTTCAACATGTTTTCAACCTTCACAAAACAGAGGAGCATGTTCAGTGGCAAACTTCAGTCACTGTCATGTTCCACAGACAGACAGACTGAGGAGGTCCTTTGTCCCCCGGGGCATTCAACTATTTAACACCTCGCTAAAGGTGAGAGTGGCAGACTCTCAATAAACCTCTCTCTCTCTCTCTCACACACACACACACACACACACACACACCACACAAGCATATAGACAGACAGACATAGACAGAGAGATAGATAGATAGATACTTTATAGATCCCAAAGGGAAATTAAGGAATTCAGTAGCTTACAACAGTACAATACAAAAGAATAAAATGACCAGCAGCATATACTGTATATGCATGTGTGTATATATATTCAAATATTCAGTTCACCATAAATGCTTTGTCTGTCTAACATCACAATTGCATTAACACATAAATAGGCACAATGAGAAAAAAGATTAAAACCAGCCTGGCCACAGGTGTTGGTTAATTTTTTTATTATCATCAAAACTCGGATGTTAACATTTGTAACATCCTTAAATCGTACAGGAAAAAACAGAAAGTAGTTCCTGGTTTCCTCCCACGATCACTTTGCTGACTCACTGAAGAGGAAACTGCTATCCTGCACAGTGCTGTGAACTCCAGCCTAACAACATCAATGGGTTTCCAGTTCTAGCAGTCTGTGTCACACAAAAGGCAATCCACTGCCAAGACTTTAACACCTACATCATCTTACACAGGCAGTTTGTGTGATACTATCTACACAAAAATCTCAATAAAGTCTCAATAAACAGTATATATTCAATTAGTTAAAAATCAACCAAACTGTAATCTATATCACATATAAATGACTTCAATAAATATCAACCATTTCTAAGACATTGTAGTCTTGGATATATGAGTTAATCTAGAGTTAAAAAACAACAACAAAAAATTTTAAAAAAACGGCACTGTACTATACAATAAAAGTCAGACACGCAATCAGTAAACACGCAGTTCAGACTAGATAAGAATGGATGAAGCCTACCTTCCACATATTGGTCACATCTGTCCGTGTTCCTGGACGCAAATGGAGTCTCATCTCTGCTTTCCGGGTTTATATATAGTCGACTGGTGTAGCAGTAACAAAGAAAAAAAAAGCTTCCCTAAAAACGAAACTTAACTATCTTGACAGAGTTCTTCAAAAACGATACTAGTAGATACTAGGGGGAAACGGAAGCAGGCACGAGCGTGCGCGCACCCGCTTGGTTCCCCGGTTCTCTTAACTTGTGCATAAAAAAATAAACAAACACAACAGTGCTATTTTATTCTTTGGGTTGCATATGAAATATTTATATGTAGAACGTATCAAACGGACTACAGAGGTTGCTGAATTATTTCTGTACCTGGCAGCAGAAGCGATAACGCCATATGCAGTACCGAATGCATAATAATTGCCTGCACGTGTCACAGTCTGTTCCTTGTGCCTTTGCTCCTTTAAATCACCTTTCCTCCTTTAATTAACTCGTGCCTTTGTTCCTTCAATCTGCTCAACCACTGCTACCTATATATTCACCTGGACTCCCTTGATTCCTGTCAGGTTGTCTTTGCTTTCATTAACACTTCCCAGAACTTATTGTTCAAATAACTTATTGTTATTTGATCCACACCTGACCTGACCTGACCTGACCTAGGACATCGCCTTGTCTAAGCTTCTGTAACAAACCAGCCTCCTGTTCTGGACCACGATCCCTGCCTGTTGTTTCCAGACCCTGCCTCATTTGCTAGCTGTGGTGCTCTGTTTGCTTCTAAGAAAGAGTTCATCCTGACTTGGTTGTGCTCTTATTGGGTCCTTTCCATACCCCGTTAAAACATGATGTTTAAGGTTGCATCATGTATTGGCGCCATTCTTTTACAGAAGCTGTAAATGTTGGTAGTGTCACAGTAAGTTTCGTTTTCCCCACTGATGTTGCAGTGCTGAGAGAGGTGTGTGGTTCACTTGGACAGGGGCTGTTGCGTAAATAAATAAAAAAATTACACAACAATACTTGTAACTTGAATAAATAATAATCAATTTCAGAAACATTTAATAATATGTTATGGAGTACATATACACACTCCTTCATTTACAACCAGTCCTTCAAGGGGAACTGTATTGCTGTTGTGGCGTAACGTACGTCTGGTATAATTGGTCACTGCACAATTCTTAAAAACAAAAACTTAAAACAGAAAACTCAGTTTGTTTATTGGAACATGGTAGGACTACTGGAATAATTCTGATTTACATGAGATGCATGTTTTGGTGCCCCCTACTGGATTTGGTGACGCGCGGTATAGATAGGTTCCCAATAACTGAGAGATTATTTTGAGATTCGGATTTTGTTTGGAATAAGGATTAGCATTTGGACCATACAACAGTTTATGATAAGCATTAGAATCACATGTGTATTTATTATAGTTGAGCTTAACGCTGGCGGCTTGTGAATGTACTAGGTATTTGTACCTCGCACGTTTTCAGACGACATATAGCCAATTTCTGTGCGTGCACGTGCGCGTGTGTGGAAGCGCTAGCTGGAGAGAGACAGTTAATCCTCCACTCACTAGATGATGCTGCAGCCTGGTTTTATAGGCAACAGAAATCAGAGAATCTGAGTGAGGGACGTGGGACGTACTCATCAGACAACAGACATGCAGACTGAGACAGCACCGACCTCCGTGTCTGCCTCTGTCATTGTAGCGTTAAGCTGCAGGACCAGCGCTTTCCACAAATGCACGGTACGTGAATTATTAATTCAGGGTTTATACACACCCTTGTGTAAATGGATTTGATTGTGTAAATGGATTTGGGGCCTTCGGTCGGATGTAGGATACAGTTTCAGTCGCACCTGGGTAAACAGGTTTGGGCATACAGTTAGCTAACACCGTTTACCGAAACACAAATGAGACGTGGTTTTGTGTATGGTCCATTTTTACCCCGTGACAAACTGTGACCATGGCCACACACTCCGGCTTTATGGGAGTGTGAGACCATAGTCAAAGAGAACCGAGAATCCCTGCACAAATGTCGGACTCTAGCGCGTATAGTCTCCACCAGGAGAGGCTTTTGTTTGAGGTCGTGAATCAGCTTTGATCAGATGAGGTCCGGATTCAGAGTTAGTAGAAACAAACAAAACGCAAAAAGAGGAGAAAAGACTTGTACAAAGGGCTGAGTTGAGATATGGTGGGGAGACGGTGTCTGCAGGATGGAGTGGGCGGAGACGAAGGTCATGTGACGAGTGACAGTAGTGAACGGAGATTTGTTCAAGATGATAGTGGAGTTGAATTCTGAGATTATAACTGGGAATGAACAGGATTGAAGGTGGATATATGGCGTCACCGTTAATACATCTAAGAAGATAATCTTAAATTAGATTCGAATCTTCAGATGTGAACATGTGCTGAGGAGAGATTGGATATATTGAACAAAAGTTGTTGGATCTTTAGCATTCATTTGTTTTGTTGCGGCTTAAATGATTTCTTTCAATATAAGAACGTTTCGGTGTGTCAGGGTCTTCTTTGGTCCCTGCAGCCAGAGTAAAATATTTTTTCACACGAGTGTCACCACTCTGGCAGCGTCCATGACAATAACCACCCCTTCTGTTTTCTTTACATTCAGACGTCCGTGTAATGTACTGAAATGAAAACACCTTCTCTTCTTCTGTGGCTGTAAAAGACACCATGCTGGAAAAAACCAGTGACAAAGAACGACAGACTGGACTCTGCTCAGACTGTGGATGCAGTTTCAGCCCACTACGGTCTGACCCAGACCCCACTATACAACAGAAGCAGTCGGATGGAGACAGTTTACCTAAATGTCCATCCTGTCTGGCAGGAGACACTCATCCTAATGGTCAGCAGCCACAGCGCCATGTCCAACTCGACCCACACATTTGCAACTTGTGTAACAAAACCTTCATCTCCTCTGCTCACCTGGCACTTCATCTGTCCTCCCACAACAAGGAGAGGAAGTTCAGGTGTAGCACATGTGGCAAGTATTTCCATCAGTCTGCACACCTTATTGCACATCGAATGACTCACAGTGGGGACAGGCCGTTTAAATGCCCTGAATGTGGCAAGACTTTTGTCCGTGCCTCCCACCTGACTACACACCGACGTCTCCACACGGGTGAGAAGCCATTTAAATGCACCTTTTGTGACAAGTCCTTCACCCAGAAGGCAGGGCTCCTGTCACACATTCGTCTGCACAAGGGGGAACGTCCGTCAAAATGTGTGCAGTGTGGTCTAGAATTTCAGTCTCAGTCCCTGCTGCTCTCTCACAAGGCTCAAGAAGCCTGCAAAAAAGCCGAGTCCGAATCCGAGGCAGCCATAGCCAGACCGCAGCAAACGCACGAAAGCACAGACGATCTGAAGTGTGGCGTCTGCTGCCGTACCTTTGTTCGATCGTCGTACATCAAGCTGCACGTGCGCCTCAAGAAAGGGCAGCGGCCCTATCACTGCAAGGTGTGCAACAAGACTTTTGTCAAGCTGGACACCTTTGTGAACCACTGTGAGAAACACCTGAAGCAGAAGAAGGATAAAAACAAGCTGAGCAAAGGCAAAGTTGTTAAACCCCCTCTGTTTGTCCCCCTCTCCAGGCCGACTTCTCCTGCAGAATCCTCAACCAGTCAGACTCTGGAGCTCAACACGCGTTCCAAATCGAAAGCTAAAACTAAAACAGAGCACTGACCAGTAGGAGTTCATCCAACAAAACAAAAATCCTGTGTGTTATTAAAAGAATAAGTAAAAGATGTCACAGCTAACTGCTCGAGACCGTACTTGGAGCGAAACAACTCCCAGTTAAATAACAGTGTTGACTTGGTTGTATTGATTTAATAATTGTACAAATATAATATTTAAAATTAATTAATTTATCGTCAATATTTTCGCACTACAGTGTCATGTGCGGTATTTGCGGTGCAGTGTTGCTGCAAATCAATGAAGTACAACTTAAAATGTGTTTTTATTGTTACAGCACGGACAGCACTTATAAAAATGCATAAAAAATATTAAAACATTGTGGTTAGTTTGCACGCATTATACATTTATGTTACATGTTTTCAACACTGTCCTCACAGCCAGTAGCATGAGGCCAAACCTGCACTGGTTCCAAACATCCATAATCACATTGTGCTGAATCATCTGAGCCTAGAATTATCAGGTCTACCACAGGGCAGCTCCACAGTTCTGCCAGATGAGGATCCTTTCACTGCGATGCTTAATCTAATGTAATACGCCATCAGTGGTGGGCGGCAGCTGGCAGCACTCTGCATAACTGGCACTCAGTGGATTCTCATTGTTACAGATGATATTTTTGAGTTCTTGTCACCTCCACATGGGGAAACTCTTGGTCCCAGCCTATTGACACAAAAACAAAAGAGAACAAGTTGAAAGACACGTGAGCGATCTCGAACAATCTTGTGAGGTTTAACTTGTCAAACGGGATCATATTGATATCACTAATGTTTTCAAAGCAATCTCTCATGACTTAATGGATCAATATGTTTTGCCAGTGAGGTCATTTAGGGGAAATGTTTGCCTGGCAGCTGCTGGCATCCTTTGAGCTGCTGTTGATGTTCCAGTGCAGGGAAACGGTCATATGACGTCTCCAGACAGGGTTCCTGTGCAGGACAATGCTCCCACTGATGGAGTCTCCTTCATGCACGCTAACAGGACGGTCTGACATAAAGAGAGTCTGCTTCCAGTGTGTCGGCCTGAAGTGAAATAATAAAAAAAAGTGTTTACTTTTTAAAAGCCCACATTCAGTGACTTGTTTTCCAGAAAAAAATGTTTCATGACATACAATCAATCTGCATGAGCATAGAATACTATGTTTGTTTATGTTAATTAGTAATATTTTATAATTTTGTATAAAATAATTCATGTAAAATAAATGATAATTATGTCCAATGAAAACATAGTTTTAAAATGCCATTAAAATAGCCTTATATTTAGTGGCATTTAAACACATCTGAGGGGTTGGATACTGATCTACTGTTAAATCCTTCTCACTTCCTTAAACCCCAGCAGTACTGCTACTATTAACAGCTACTATTAAATGAACTTCTTTGTGCTATACTGGCGCTGTACTGTAGAGGATATAAGGGTCCATTTGGTTCACATACTCAGAGTGGGGGCCTGTGTCCAGCTGCACTGCTGTCCCTCCAGGCTCCATACTTTTAAAATCAACATTGAACCAGGCAGTGAAACCGTGGAAAGTTCCAGACCTGTCTATCCAGAATTGAAAGTGACCGTGCATTTCCTAGAAAATGAAACCACATTCATTCATTCAGAAAACTCAACATGTTCAGGCTTCATCAGTTTAAAAAACAAAACTTAAACTAAACCTCCAGGTCTTTCACTTGTAGAGTGTACATGTCCAACTGGATGACATCACAGGGTGTACTGAGGCAGTCGGTCGGGTCAATCAGATAACTGAACTTTGGTTTGGTGAAGAACTCCTGCTGGGCCAAAGACCTGCACAGACCACCACAGGAAAATATGTTTGTAGTCAAAGCCAATATGGATGATAAAAAAGATTATTATTAGTTATGAGTTTGTGTCACCTTGGGAAAAAAAAGTCAGATGGACATATTGAATATTTAAGGTATCTCAAGACTTTATAATACTCCTAATAATACCTTTCAGGTTGCCTGAACTTTTTTGTCACCTTTCGTACTACAGCACATTGACATGCCATTAGTTACTGCACTATGTGTCATTTGTGGTGCACAGTGAAGGTGACTGCAGCTGAGGTACTGGCTACTACAGAGTCACATTTACAAATACATCATCAAGGGACTTCATTTACATATTTTTTTTACTTTTGATGACCTAAATATGACAAGGGATGAAACATTTTATTGTTCATATATTTGACCAAAATGTGACTCGGTTGTTTGTATTGATTATAAAATTGCATAAAACCAATGCATATCCATATCTGTGTGATCTCAACTCTAAACTTTGAACATCACATTGGTAACTGTAACAAAATCAAGGAAAACCTTTTTTTCCTGTAACTTGTTAAATATGTCACCTTGATTCTTGTTTTAGATCATGGTCCTGTTCACAGTAACAAACAGCTCTTACTGCAGAGGAGTAAAATCCAGGCCATAGGGCCGCTCCCAGAAGTGCATTTTTTCTGAAAAGTAACTGTCTGCCTGACATGGCACCAGGGTGAGGGCTGCCGACGAGGGCCACATCACACCTCCTTCCTTCAGCCAGCGGTCACGTGCCAGCAGCACCGACTCTACCATGAACTCAAACTGTACCAAGAGAAAGGAGACAAAGAACCCATGAAGAATAATTAAAAAAAAACAACTAACAACTATCCACATCCTCACCTCACTGAAGTAAAATTAAAATTACCAGTAGGCAGTTACCCATCCACTCAGAAACTAGGACGTCCACCTGCCCAGGCAGCTCTATCTCTTCAGCTCGTCCCTGCAGGACTGAAACCACCTCTTCACAGTTGTTCTGCTTCACCAGCTTTTTGGTGTACTCTGCCATGGAACTTGCTTCTACAGCATATACCTGCAACACGCACAACACACATGGTATGAAAATACACTGCAGCGTTCAGCAATACTGTATAAAACACTCTAACCAGTAGATGGGAGTAGAGGCTCGCTAATAGGACATTTACGGTCTATTGTTTCTGATCTACGAGGGGTTTTGTATGTAGTTTGCAAGTTTGTTTTTTATCTGTTTTGACAATTTTGTCAGCAGTTAAAACAAAAATCCAGGTTGAACCTGTTATTGCAAAAGTGCCTATTACTGTACATGCCAGACGAGCAACACTTTTGTAAGACTACAGTTTGGTAACTAAAAGAGAACCACAACAGATTGACAATAGCCACGGAACAGCTGATGTTAGATAAAATAGGTTAAACATAGTTTAAAGCAGTAAAATATCTAGTGTAAAGTAGAAAAACATAGACAAACATTAACCTAAGGTTGCCAAAAACATTTAGCAAGGCTTGAAAAAATGTGAAATAGTCATATTATTATAAAATGGAAAAGATAATTTAGCAATATTTGCTTAATTAAATTGGTAAATTATCTTTTCAGGTTTTCTGTTCTGCTGAATAGACCTACTGAGCACAGGCCCAGGGACAGAGAACAAGCCTTTTACATATTTGTCCTTTAGTTGCACAATTTGTAGTTATCCCCGTCACCCGGTTGACATTACCATAGAGGGTTGAGCCAGTTGAGCACAGAAGAGGCTGATGATGCCAGTCCCACAGCCGAGGTCCATCATCACCTTATCCTTCAGAGAAGCACTGTTACTAATGATAACCTGCCGATAGGCCTCGGTACGACTCCTGTCTGCTAACATCTCCAGGTGTAGTTTCTGCATCAACAAAGTTTAAAAGGTTGTGGTTTAAACCCTTTAGGTTTGATTCAACATTCACATTATTTATTCTTGTTTTGTTGTTTTGAAGCAGCCTCCACCTTTACTACTTTACATAATAAGTTACTTACCAATGTTCCATAGCTGTCGAAGTATTCTTCATCCTGCCAGGGGTCCGGCATGGATGTGTCCTCTTCAGTAGCTCCACCGGGGCAAACATGGCTGGCAGGTATATAACCTATGACGCCACTCAGCTCTGCCCACCACCAGTCTGATGAAGGCTTAGCATGCACAAGCAGTCTGTCCCCATTGGCGAAAGCAAGCTTAAAAATAAAATCAACATGTTTGGTGGTCAAAATGGCTGACCATTGGTTTCACATTCATTAAAAAAAAAACTTTTTTTCGTTCTTCTTATTATGACACTGAAATTAAAATTCGCCTAGTACAACTTTTTCTTGACTTGTTTAAGGTAATGTGACCTATAGAAACTTTTCCAACAATTCAAGTCTGCAGTTGTGCAGTCATATTTGTAGCAATGTCTTTAATATTTTACAACATAAAAACAAGTAATTACAGTGTGTTTATATAGATTTTGTGTTGATTGTCTAAGGGTATTTAGGGCTTCGTCTGTCAGGTGAAGTAAATATACAAAATAGTTTGATTACCACTGCATAGCTTATCCATTCATTATATACCAGATATTTATTTGCAATGTCACCGGAGGGATGGGGGTTTCCCAGGTGTCCACGGGCGATGGCGGTGGTACACCCCGGAATTCACACTCACATTCATACGTATATTTTGTTTATGTTCAATCAAACTAATCTCCTAGTAATTATGTTTTTAGATTGTTCGAGGAAACCGGAGTTAACCTACGAAAAACATTTTACTGCTGGTTTATATGCTGCTAATAATTCCGGTTCCGCTGTAGGAGATGATTTTTTTTTTTTCTTATTTCTTTTGAGTTAACTGTATAATATGGTGCCCCACTTTGTCTGGAGATATTAATTGTTTAGAGGCGCCACTGCTGAGAGGTGTTTTTTTCCCTCAAAACTGAGAAGCTGGGCAGGTCCAAACCTGATCGCTGCCATTTCCAGTGAAGTCGGACAGAGCAATAACCTCAATAGGAAACTCTTCGTCTTCTGACTGCATGGCTCGCTTTATTTTAGTTACTTTAGAATTATGCGCCGCATCATAACACACAAATCACAGTGAAAACATCTTCACATCACACACTCGAGCTGCATTTACACACTTCCTGTTTTGACGTCACGTAAAGAATTGCGATGCCTTCCTGACCGTCGTTAATAACAGAACATCGCTATTTCTTCCGAAAAGGCATTGAAAAACAGAGGCAGATCAAATAATGTACAACATTTAGATAAAGAAAAAAAGGATATCTTAACGGCAATTGTTGATTATGTGTTTTTGTACCGTGTAAATCTAAAATCCTCTTACCATTTGAAAGTGTAACACACTTCCGGATTTTGCGAGGATTCGCGGTAGCACGTAAAAGCAGCACCGTTCTAAAAGAGCTTCAGAAGTGTAAAAATTTATTTTTTTAATCCCCAAGTTACCAGAAGGATAACATGACACTTGGCTAATTATGTAATAAGAGTTCATGATAAATATTCCATAGCATGTATTGTAAAATATATAAATTCTCTTTCTTTCTTTTTTTACAAAACAGCAACAAATATTTATAAAATATATAACATACACTTTTCAAGTTCATATTTTGAAATGCTCAATCATGCTTTGACCAACTCCATGTGTTGTGTCATTGGTTTTTTTTTGTCAGAGGGTTCAGCTGTCCTTTGTTTTTGACTTCAGAAAAGGTTTGTGAAGCACATCATAGAGCCGTCTTGCCTGTGAACACAAAATATCAACATGTTTTAATTCTGTCCCATCTCTGCATTAAAATGCTACACCCTGAATCATCACCTACTTTTTGTGGACCAAGACCTGGACAAAGAACCAGGTCGTCCTTAGATGCACCGACGATTCCCTCTATAGACTATAAAGACGACAGCCAAGTGAAGATAGGTACTGTGCAAAAACAGCAAATGGGCTAAAAATAATTTCTTTATTTTAAGTGGTACTTACCGAAAAAGTGGACAATAAAGTAATGGCATCTGTCTTATTTATGGACTTAACAGTGGTCAGACAGTCTGTAACCTTAAACAAACATAGATATCTAGTCAGCACTGCTTTGTTCAAAGCTTAAAAAACACAGCAAAACTGTGGTGGAAGTTTTTAGCCTGCCCCATAATAAAAGATAATATTGTATACACCCTTTTTGGATTACCTTTGAGAGGTAGTCCTTTTCAACTTGCTCCTTTAGCAAATCTGCTGGTTTCTTTTCATATGATTTATATGTTTCTAGGTATCGCCCTGCCTCCTCTGGGCTTCAAAAATCGACAGAACGGAAACATATGGGATAATGAAATAGTTAATTTTACTATTTTATGTCTTTGTCCTGGAATCAAATCCTAAATCTCTAGGCAGGACTTACCTCCAAGCCAAGATGAGTGTGCAGTCAGCCATGATACAGATGCGGGCCAACTCCTTCAATGCATGATGGGGATCTTTCTATAATGTGAACAATGCCATGTTTGTATTTCTGTTGTGTATTTTAATGGTCTAATACCCCATTATTACAGTTTTATTTTATGCTGTATAACAACATACTGTTTCAAATTAGAAAACCAAAGGATTCAATCAAAGGTTTGCAAAAAGGTTAGCAAGATTAACATTTTTAATTTAATAAAAAATATGTTGTAAGAGAATGTCTGTAAGAGAAATATTCTGAACTTACCACATCCACTTGTACCAGTAAAACTCTCAGGGTGAATGACTGTCCAAGTTGTTTCAGCCTTTCGTGTATGTAGTTTGGATTGAGGTTGTGGTATCTCAGACTATCTCAGAGCCAACCCAGAACACAACAGAATAAAACAGGAATAAAAAACAAAGATAAAATTCGCATCTTAAAAACAAATAAAAACTACTATTTTGTAAAGGCATAAACTCACCTGAGAAAAAGAGCACATGTTGTCTGCCCCAACACATAATCTGGTACAACATCACCAAATTCCCAGGGGACATTTCTCACAAACTTCAAGATAGGATTTCCCCTCTGTTGATAGAAAGACATGCTGATATAGTTTGGATCTTTTACGTCATGACAATAGCCTGAATAGCCCAGTAGCACTCAGTCAACTCTTATTACTTTGTCAGTAATTGCAATATTAGAAGATTTAAATAAGCTGTACATTACTACATTATATACATACTATATTTACCTGTCTGGGACTGACTATAATGCTGCTTCCAGACCCTAAAGGTTTTGGTCCCAGACTGAGGTTTGCATCTTTTTGTTCTGTCCCATCTAACCGTGTCTCCTTTGTCTCAGGTCCATTAAATCCACTTTCAGTCCCGTCTATGCAATTTTGTTCCGTTTCACATTTAGATGAGGTAGATGACACAGATACAGGCTCGATTCGTTTTTCACAAATGACCCCAGCATTATTGGTCCGAGAAGAATTTGGAGGTGGGGGCTCTCTTTGACGTATAGCGGCCACATTGGAGTTTTTCTGGACAATATATTGTGCATATGATGTAGGGTTGTCCAAAGATGAAGGAGCAGACTTTGAGGAGGAAGTGGTTGAAGTGACTTGTCCTTTGGATGAAGACACAAAATAGGACTTAGGCTGAAAGACAACAATACGGAAGAGGATGTTTGAGAATCGAGGATTTATTTATAAAACCGTACAGAATTATATATTTTACAGACAGTATACAGGTATCTCCACATAATGTTAATGTATTCCTTGATTTAAACGTCTGAATTTACAATGTGAGATGAAAAAAAGTAAAATATGCCGCGTGTTAGCTAGACAGCTATTTGTCCGCTGCTAACTGGGTTAGAATAAATGTGGTATACCAACCGGTGTTCTTTCTTTGGTGAAAGCAGTGTCATCAAAGTTGATGTTAAATCGCTTGCTCATTTCTCTATATAAATTAGTTGTATTTCTCAATGAATATGGTTCACAAGAAAGAGAGCGAGGTGATGACTGTATCGAATGAATAGCAAAATCACAAGTTCCGGTCACCCTCCTCCAGAATAAAAGTACCAAACAAAACCACAATGAACTTTCCTTGCTTTGTGTGATTTTCTATATTGGGTATTCCTTCTTTCGGCTTTAAGTAAATTCGTTCTCGTTTTTTTCTTTCTCCATTTTCCATTGTTATTTAAACCGGGTTCCTTTATGTCTTCAGTTGGTTCTACGGAGTGGGGTTACCAAGGAGACTGATGCCGCCATTCAAACCGCGCAGCTTGGCATGCTGGGAAACATTTCCCATCATGGCGGGTCAGTAGCTCTGCTAACGTTAGCATATTCAGATATTGTTTGCTTTCGCATGTTGCAGGAAGCCCGTGACCTGGACCAATCTTCTTCTTAGAAACGGCAAACAGCTTCTACAACCGGGGTAAATATGTCATGGGCACATTACATTTGTTAATGTGCGTAGAAATACCGTTTGAGTACAGTGTTAACGGGTCAATGTATTATCGACCAGCTACTTTACTAGGAACGAGCGAGCTACGTTTAGTCAGCGGTGATTTTGTAGCTTAATCGTTTGGCCCTCGTTCTGCAATTGGGATGTCGCACTGGTGGTAAAAAGTTATGTGTGCCAGGAATTGATGAAATATTGTTCAGTGTCGGCGAAAGGGCTTCCGACCAAATAATTTTGATAAGGTTTTATCCACTTGTGCTAGTCATTTAGCTTGTGTTTGTTGCAGTGCAATAAGCATGGATGCTAACCGGAGCATAGGTTGTGCAGGCCTGAGTCTGTTTGGCCTTATCTCGCGTTCATAAGAACTCACACATTAGTTGTAGTGCTTATGTTGTATCTGTTTTTCGTTTCCCATTCACAAACATTAAAGTATTGTTGTCTAAAGAAGCATTTTTGGTTACACAGGCCGAATAGACTAATATTGCACTGAATATTAAATAACACGTTGGCAGCCAAACTACTGAGTTGCATTCATCATCAGCTTCATTGGATGCGTTTGTTAACGTGTTAATTAGCGGGTTACATGTTCATAATTACTACTGTTTGTTGTAACAGGCTGGTGTCAAAGGTAATTTTAAACTTAAGTTAGGTTATCCGCCGTCGCTGATTTGGCTATTGTACGAATTTGGGTTTAAAGTACTGCTGGAAAAAAGCACACGTATTTATCTTGGTATGCTGTATTGGTTACTGTTAAACACGTATAAGCGTATTTAATGTATTTAATTTAAATGGAATCCAGCGTTCAATTTAAAAATAGTGCAGACCCGGATGCAGATCCAATTATTTATTATCAGCAATATATATATGGCTGCAAGCAATAACAGCCCACCCTCATTTAATTTTAAAAGTAACATAGAAATAATGTTGAAATTATTTGTTGATCACTGTCCAAAATACACATTTTTATAAACCCATTATGGTCTTTGAAATTTTTAGGCAAGGAAGCAACAAAACCGTGGCATTAGTTTTTAGCTGAATCAAGAAGAGGAGCGTCATGGAATATTCAGTGGACATACCAACAGGTGAGTTAACATCAAGAAGACAGAAATATATATTGTATATGTATGTATTTTCATTTATAGATATATATACTCTCACACACACAAATGTGTTTATGTATGTCTGTGTGTAAAATGTCTCATTGGTAGGGATTATTTTAGATTATATGCTTTTTCCAATGGGTGTATGACTTGAGTAATTACCTTCTGTACTGTATAGGTGAAGATGAGACTGTTGAAAAAGATGACATAAATGAAGCAAAGGAGGCACCCTCCAAGAAAAACAAAAAGCACAAGAAACACAAAAGCAAGAAAAAGAAGAGGAGAAGGAAAGGAGAAAGGGAGAGCAGCTCAGAAACTGGTGCTGAGTCTGACACTGAACCACAACCTCCACTACGACCTGTCCGGACCACCAGAGCCAGGTAGGGAGAACCTAAAATTACTTCTGATGCTGTAAAACAACAAACTCCTTCTATTGTCCACATGACTGATAAGCTTTTACCTTGTTGCCTGTTTTTAAATTATTCTATAAAAGTAAAGAGAGCAGTACTTTGCGCATAATGTTTTATTTCTGTCGGTGATTTTTTGTTTATCTCAACACTGATTTTAGTGCCAAATTAGCAGCAGCCACAGGAGCTGGAGATCCTACTGCACTGATGGAAGAGAGTAAGAAAAATGTAAATGGTAAGTTTGTCATTGTTACATACACACATATACACTTTCCTCTAAGTGGTTCATTTTTTAATCATCATTTCTCCACTCCAACTGTGTGAAAACAGAGAGTGATACAAAATATAAGAAACACAAAAGACATGCAGCCAAAAAGAAGAAAAAGAAGAGGAAGAAAGATGAGAAGCCAGAAAAGAAATCCCCATCTCGCTCTGCATCTGAAAGCAGCTCTGCCTCAGGCTCTGAATCTGAGGGTGAAGATGTTAAAGGAGCTTGTGATAGTAAATACTCTCCAGTTGCTGTGTCCCACCAACAAGAACCAGTGTCCAAACTGGGTTTAAAAAGCAAACAAGGAGATGAGAAAGAAGTTCCCATACTCTCACAGACACCTGAACGTCCTGGAGTTAAGAAAGATGAAAATGCAAAAACAGATGTGTCACCAAGTGAAAGAAAGGACAGCAACACCAATGGATCAGAAATGCTTCCTTGTCCAGGTCTGAATGAGGACACCAACACAGATGCAGGACGTGTTAAGCTGGAGGCTAGTCATGACCATGGTACGTTTAGCCATGCCCAAGAACTGCCCGACATCATCCCAAAACAGGAAGGGGCTAATTCAAGAGATGACTGCAGCGTAAAAGAGAACACCATTTCAGTTCAAAGGTCAAATATCACAGAAATTGATATTCCTATGCCCAAGTCCCCCTCCCCTCCAAGAGAAATGGACATAAGAAAATCAGGGTCGAGCCACAGTCGGTCACCAACACCTATAAGGCAGCAATCTAGTGGTCAAACTTCTTTAGCAACAATGACAGAGGAGCATTCAAGAGCCCATTCCAGGTCACCTTTAAATGAAAAACAGCCACCCGCTCTTCAGAGAGAGAAGTCAACCTCTGAATCCCCTAAACCCAGAAAAAAATCTCTGTCCCCCTTGCCTAAGTCAAAGAGAGCTGGCTATAGGTCAAGGTCTGCCTCTCGCTCCCTTACACCCAAAATGAGGGTAACAGATTCCCCAAGGAAGTCAAAGTCTCCTAGAAGACGAAAGAACTCCATATCTGTCTCCCCAAAAAGACGTAGGAGTCCCTCTCCAAAAAAGGTTTCACGGTCTCCCAGACGTGGAGGTCGTAGGTCTCGCTCCATGTCTCGATCGCCAAGAAAAAATCGGAGGTCGATATCGCGCTCCCGTGGCACTAGGCGCTCAAGGACCAGATCTCCCAAAAGGGGGGCTGCCGTTGGTAGGCGCTCACGGTCACGCTCCATTACTAGAACACATCGGTCTCGCTCAAGATCTAGACGGCCAGTTCGTCGCTCTCGGTCACGGACACCAGTAAGACGAGCAGGTGGGCGGCGTTCCAGGAGTCGATCCATGTCTCGTCGTCGTAGATCCCCACCACCAAGATCTCGTCGCTCCCGGTCAATCCGTAGGAGTAGAAGGACTCGGTCACGTTCCATAGGAGCTGTTAAACGCAGCCGTCGCTCAAGGTCAAGAAGCCCCCGCAAACGTTCCAAATCCAGAAGCCCTCCTCCCAGGCGTCGGTCAAAATCCCGGTCACCAGTCAAAAAGCATTCAAGGTCTCCTGCAAGGAGGACACGTTCTCCAAGACCAAGCAAACGCTCCCAATCACGTTCATTGTCTCGAAAACGCATGTCAAAGTCACATTCACCATTGCCTGGCAAAAGGAGGTTTAAATCTCCTAAGAAGACAGCAAAAAGATCCAAGTCAAAATCCCCCTCACCGTGCTTGGACAGATCCAAATCCAGGTCGGTTTCAAGTGATAGGCAGTCAAATAGCTCTTCTCCAGCCAGATCTACATCATCGTCTCCTATTAAAGAAAAGATTCTCCCTCCAGACCCTGAGGCTACATCTGAAAAGGCTGAAGGACTTTCAGTTCCCACAGGTCAGATTTGGCAATTATAATGTTGTGTTTTAAGTTAGACTGCCATTTTTATAGTTTTGACAGTTCTGCACAGTTTTGAGTGATCAAGCTAATCATTACTGATAAAGAAATTGTGATATACTTATGCATATATTTTTTTATCCCTCAACCCAAGCTCTGTTAAAAGATGTTAGTAATGTAAATGTTGAATCCTTGTAGTTTCTTCTGTTTAAAATCTGGTTCTTTTCTATCTGTATTTATTCTTTCACCAAACAGGTAGCTGGAAGCCTTTGGCTTCAGCTGATGACAGTCCCAAAATAGGCAGCTCTTCAAATATATTTCCAGAACAGTCTGCTCCCAACCACGACTTGGTTCAGAAACAGTGTCCTAACTCATCAATTGAACGAGAAATATCTAGGTCCAGGTCTGGATCACATGAGAAAGACCCTGAAGGATCAGCTGGTTCAGACGGTTCTGTTAAAGATGATGATTCTTCTCCTCCAGCTAAAACAACAACCAAATGCCACAGCAGCTCTTCGGTCTCACCATCTCCAAAGGTGCAAAAAAAGCAATTGTCCAAGTCACAGTCACCAGTGGATGAAAGAAAACTTTCACGCTCAACGCCATCGCCTCGAAGATCACCGTCTAAGTCAAAATCCAGGAGAAAAGAATCCAGGTTTGTAGAATCACGGTGCATGCTTAAACAATGTTAATTATGTCTTTACTTCATTAGGCATAATTAAAAATTTTATTATATAAATATACAGTGTATATATGAACTAGTGTGTGTGTGTGTGTGTATATATATATATATACACACACTACTTAATACTAGTTAATATATATATATAAAACTTGTCCAGAAAATGTGCGTTGTTGCATTCATCAGTGTTATTAATTGTCCTTCTTCAGATCCAAGACTCCCTTGAGGAAAAGAGAGTCTACTTCCCCGTCAGAAAAAAAGAAGCGGCGGTCTAAATCACCTGCCCGGAGGAGGCGCTCTCGATCTGTCATACGGCGTAAGCGTTCGCACTCCAAGTCACGAACCAGAGTGCGACGATCCAAGTCACGAAGTCCAACTAGGAAAAGGCGATCCCGAAGCCGTTCAACCAACACTCGAGGAAGGAGAAGATCAAAGTCCACAGACAGAAACAAACGATCCAAGAGCCGATCTACTGGCCGGAGAAAAAGGTCTAGGTCTGGAGACAGAAGCAGGCGGTCCAGGTCTCGTTCTTCTGATCGCAGACGCAGGTCTAGATCGAGAGGTCGAGGAAGACGCCCAGTGTTTCGTAGTCGTTCATTTGACAGAAGAGACAGGTGGAAAAGGGAACCAAGCCATTCTCCAGTTCTCATACTCCGCAAACAACGTCGCTCAGGGTCTCGAACAAGGCGTAGCACCAGTAAAAGTCCGCCACGATTAACAGAACTAGGTAAAACAACCTAAAGATGATCTTATCTATCCATGCAATATCTTTTGAGTTTAAGTATAGACATTTGTTTTACATTTTGTTTGTACTGAATATTTCCATTTTTTAAGTCTGTATTGTTTTTTGTTTTTTCCAGATAAGGACCAACTGCTTGAGATAGCTAAGGCTAATGCTGCTGCTATGTGTGCTAAAGCTGGAGTTCCTATTCCTGAGAGTCTTCGGCCCAAAGCCATCCTCCAGCTTCCTTTACCTACGCCATCTCCTACCCCCCTCTCCCTGCCACTCCCATTACCCCTCCCAATGGGAATGGGTATGCCCAACATGGGTCCAATGGGCTTACCCAATATTCCAGGAATACCTAGCATGTCAAACATGACCATGAGTGCAGCAATGGCAAGTATGACAGCAGCTACTATGACGGCAGCGTTGACCAACATGGGTGCTCTGGCGGCAATGCCCCCACTTGCCCCACTTCCTACCATCACAAACAAGCCTCCACCATGCCTTGCTCCACCAGCACCAGCCCTTAACCTGGATCACATTGAGGAAGCAAAGAGGAAGGTCACTCAACAAGCAAATATACACACCATTAAGGAGCTCACTGAGGTAATTTCTTTTTCACCATTTTATAAACCAGATGGTAACATGGCTGAATTAAATTTTTTCTTTGCTAAGGTAGTTGATATAGACTTTTTTCAGTCCTACTTTGTCTTTCTTTCAAGTTATTTGCTCTGCATATAAGCGTTGAGTTACTTCAATTTAAATCTAACTTCGATGCTGAATTCATCCTAAATCTTTCTCTAAAACTTTTTGCCTATCGAACAAAGGTTCAAGTGAATTACTGAGCTACAGATACACCTCTCATTGCCAGTTTTCAAGTTTACGTAGTAATTTATGGTAGAATATTTGTGCCAGTAACACATTTCTCTTCTCTTTTCCTCTATAGAAATGTAAGATGATTGCGAATAGCAAGGAGGAGATGGCCATTGCTAAGCCACATGTCTCGGATGATGAAAGCTAGTGGTGCCAAGTCTTTGGTAAAATTTCTTTTTATTCCTTCTTTTTAACATTTTCCCAACAAAATTAGAGGGAACTATAACCTGTCATTTAGGATGGTGGTGCAATGACTCAGTCAAAGAAAACAAATCCTCTTTACTCTACAGCTTGTTTAGTCTTATGCCTTAATGAATACCAGAGTTGTTTTCTAGACATTTGATTGTTGTCTGAGTTATTTGTAGGTAATTGTTCTAACTTTTGACATGGGTCTCCTCTGCACACAGGCCCTGTCAACAAGACTGAAGGAAAAAGTAAAACATGCGCAACAGGAAAGTGTTTCCTTTGCCAGCCTGGTAGACCCTAGATAAGATTAGTATCCCAGTCACCACAGTTGTAATATAGAGAGCACCAGAACATGCCATTGCCCTTTCTCTCCCCAATTTTGCTCGTGTGACATGGTGTAAATGGCAGCCTGTAACCTCTGATACCACTGAGAGAACTGGACATACCATAAACATGTATGCACAGTTTTTGGGCTGTGTGTAAAGTGTGTGTGTGTGTGTGTATATATGGACTTTGGCCACCTACCCCTCACTGTTGCTGCTGGTTAAAGCAGCCTTTGTTGCTGAAGAGAAAACGAACCAAACTAACTAGTTGCTTAAGTGTTTGTTTTGTAAAAGATCACTTTCTCTAAATTTATTTTACTATTATGCTTTTATGATTGGGGTGGTTTTCAGATTGCTTCTTTGTTCTGCTGTATTCTCTTGGTTACCTCTAGTCTTCATTTTTACTAATAAATAATGCAGATGTCGTTCTGCTAGGTCCTCACTCATGATTTGTTTTCCTATGTCTTGGTCTCACTGAAAAAGAGCATCAACGTGTGCATTGTTCTGTAACAAGGTGCCATATCTATCTGTTATGATAGAAGGGAATTTTGTTTTATTCAAAATATTGCTTTGAGTTTTAGCCATCAATCAGAGATGATTTAAAAATTGTCCTTTCCTGGGTGTAAATTTTCCCATTGTTTGATTTGGACTAAAGTATTGCTTTTCTGTCTTTTTCATCTATTATCATTTAAATGATAATTTCTTCTTTCATCCTAATATACATTACAGGTTATTGTTTTTTACAATGTAGGATTTTATTTTATACTTGATGAAACATTTGAAGCTTTCCACAGTTGTTGGATTGGTTTGTTATATTTAGCTGTGTGATAATTATCATTACATTTGGACCTTAATGAAAGACTTACGTTATACTTGAAGCTAAAAAAAAACAAATGTGAAAATACCCAATTGGTTTTTAGAGTTGAATGAAAGCAACTTCTGGTTTTCCTAGGTGGGAAAATAAATTATTTTCTGTCAAAGATGTTTAATGAGAACACAGTTTATACCATTCCCACTAATATTTACACATACCTAGCTTTATTAAACAGAAGCTGACCAATTTCTTGTATTGGTTTAGAGAAAGTGAAAAGGTGAGAGTTTTTGGCTTTGACCTTGTTTGTCTTGGACAATCACATATTGTCCTGGCCTTTTCCTCCGTTTTTCACCCCCTTGTATCTAATGTTATCTCTTTATCACTGATTCAAGGTGAATAATTATTAAAACAATCTCTTAAGGCCTTCACGGTTAAATTATATGGTTGACATGCACTCTGTCCAATGGTGAGAGCTTTGTGATGCTGCCGTGATGTTTTCCACTAACAAGTGAAACTTGGTTTTTAAAAACTGCCAGACATCATACATTTTTTAGATTTTGTAAAATCTTGCACTTGTGACCTTTTTTTTTCCCAAAACAAATTTAAATATTCCTGGCTTCTTCCTCCCTTGTCATTTTCTACACCCAGTACTGCTGGACTGAGAAAGGGTTTGTGAAACTGTACCTATATTTACTTTCTCTCAAAGACATTGGACTGGACTGATTCCCTGCAAAAAAAACAAAAAAAAAACCTCTTTTAATGAGAAAAGAAGAAAATACGTTTTAGCATTCATTTTGGTCATTTCAATACTGCATTGCTTGCTTTGTACATAAACGTATTGACGATTATTAAAAACCTCAATGATCTGTAGTAAATATTGTCCCTTTTTGATATATGAGCTTTTCACAAGGTTCCCACTGTTTACCTGAAATTATTTTTCAGGACATTTTCAGCTGCTACCAAGAGTTATTACATCATACACTAACAAATTCATCTGCCCCCTGATTCTGTTGAAGTGTTCTTTTCTATAGTTGTTACTTTCATATACAGCATTGTTTCTATTTAATTCTGACAAATCTATCACAGAATAATGTATATATATGTGTTTATATATGTGTATATATATATATATATGTGTGTATATATATATATATATATATATACATATGTGTGTAAATATATATATATATATATATATATTTATATATATATATGTATATATATATGTTTTAGTTTTTCACCAAAAATGACTCAAAGTTTACATTTTGACAGTTTCATAAAAACAAATTTCTGAAAGTGTTCTCTAAATGGCCCAATTTGATGAGAAACATGAAAGGAAAAGATAACATTTTGAAAAATAGTTTTACAGAAATTTTCGTCAAAATATTAGTTTTTGCCAAAACATGTTCAATCTTATTTGATGAGAAACATGCAGAAAAGATACAATTTTGAGTGTTTTTTTTTTCCAATAATTTTCATCAAAATCTTTGGCCATCTCACAACGACACGTGAAACAAGGATTTTTCAGAAAATTGAAAAAATATTTATTTTACCAAGACATTTTTCAAAATGCTCTTATTTGATGAGAAACATGCAGAAAAGATATAATTCTTTCTGTGATTTTTATTTATTTTTTGCATTTTTTCACATGTTGAGTGTCTTGAGTGTTAGGCTATAGTAAGGCATGTTTTG